TGAGGCCGCTGGCGCATCGGGGATAAACATCACAGACAGCACCGAAATTCACCCAGCTTTCGTTACCATTTGCCCGCATGGGCATTCCGACTTGCGGTCTGCCGCACTGTCCATGCGGCATGCACCCGGGATGGATGCGATTCGCGTGGAGCCCGCAGGCGGTGCTGACGATTCCGCCGGTGCAAGCTTAGCTCCCACACCATCAGCACTGCTGCAACAAAGCACATCTCCCACAGCGGTGACACTACCCATCAATTGTCACACGTGCCGCGCTAGCTACCGGCCTGTACGGATGCAGGGGGGGCCCGCCCTTTTTCCGGCTTCGAGGAAGCCGACACCCGACTTGTCGGTTAGGCTGTTGGGAGTTAGAGGTTAATAGGCCTAATGGGCGTGAGCGCACCGCGCGTACCTGCAGGCTTTGTGACTGTGGAGCGGTTGAAGATGAGTTGCATGTTTTCGAAGAATGTCCCGCTTACAAGAGCATACGGGCTAAGTATGATGGTGACCTAGTCCTTACGGGGCGCAGCATGCGCACCACTATGACTGAGGCGCCACCCCTGGCATTGGCCAGGTACCTCTCGGAAATCTGGGAGGCCAGGCACGTCGCGCTGAGGCGCTTCGCCCTGAAGCGGACGAGGGAGAATGAAGATGACCTCCCGCGTACCCGCATCAATACCAATACAACGTCCATGGCCCCCCCGGCTTTTACGGACACACCCGCACTTGTGTGCGGAACTTGTAACTTGTTAGGAAGCTCACGCCCGAAAGTCAACGAGGAATCGGACTGTTTCTGACTCTTTCTGACCGGACCAAACGCTGCAAAACATTCGGACCCGAAGCTCCTAAAGCATGGAAGGCCATCAATCAGATACTAAATTTCACTGAAGCCATTAGCGAAGTTAATGAAGACGGTGTAGACGTCGTAGGCAATGTGGACGCAATGCTGCCGCCAGCCGACGACAATGACGCCACTCCGGTTGCCAACAGCGAGCGGGCCAAACATCAACGTTCGTCATATGGAGACAATCATTGTCTCCATATCAGTGTTCGACACCCCGTACGGGGCCCGTAAGGTTTTGGCCTTTTTTCGGTATCCCCGTCAGGGCCCGTAGGACTCTTCGGTGGCTCCCGTAAGGATTTTGGGGCGCGAAGCGCCCCGTACGGGGCCGCCCCCGGACCGGCCGAAGGCCGGTTACGGTGGCTCCCGTAAGGAATTTAAGGATTTATAAGAGGCCGTACGGGGCCCTGTAGGGGAGAGGACGGACCATATAAAGGATAAGGCCACACACTTGATTCACTACTTCGTGTGGGGATGTTGGGACCTGCTGCTGATACCGGGGCGAAGCCACTGATTGATCAGGCTGCTGAGATCTACTCGCGTAAGGGTTATACAGGCATTATTCACAAGTTGTTTTCTGACGTTAGCAAAATTAATTTGAATCCATACGGAGAGGATGATAATGAGGAGGTTGCGACTGACCCAGAGTTTGAAGTACTGGTACAAGCAACATACCCCGCTAGTGACGATGAGGCTTTTAGTGACAGTGACTACGAGACCGACGTAGAACGAGATACCGATGAGTCGTGCGTGGATGAGGATTTTGATGAGGAGGAGGAGGACGAGAAAGAGGAGCAGAAGGGATGGGCGGCCGCGGCGGCCAAGGCGCTTGGCTTTCGCTGAGTGTGCCATGTCCCCGTGTGTAATGGTTCACGGGAAAATAACGAAAATAACGATTTACAGGGCAAAAAAATGCAAAGCGTCACTTTCCACAGCGTTTCAGCCAAGGACAGTGTCCCCGTAAAGGTTTTGCGGGGTTACGGGGGCCCCCGTAAGGTTTTCGGCCAGTACAGGAGCCTGGTACGGGGGCCCCTCCGTAAGGAAAATTTGGGAGGTACGGGGGATCCCGCAAGTTCCAGGAAGGTCAGTGTCGAACCCTGCTCCAGATGATGATGATGATCGCGATGGGCCAGGAAACAGGTTGCGTTTGGTGGTTCCGGTTCATTGCTGCTATGCATCATTACTTCTGCAAAGTCGTGTAGTGTTATCTTTCAACGTGATGCAAGACGAACGATGGTGAACGAACTCTACTCGATCAGTGCTTGAGAGATTGTGGTGTGCGCGTGTTGCGACATTCCCCAAACCCGGCGTTTGCACGAGAACTAAACTGTAACTCATCGGGGGGGTTCGGGGGGGGACGGAGCCCCCCCCAGCGCCTTATACATTTGGAATACTTTTATTCACGCGACTAAAAACCTATTCCTCCGTTCGGACTGGAAAATTAACCGGCAAAAATGTAAAAAAACACTGGTGGTGTGGTCCTAACCACCGTCGGTGCCACGGAGTATGGCCGCAGAATATGGCAGCAGCGATGCGAGTGGGTGCATCCCGAGGTCCGGGACCAATTTTCGCTGAAGAGGCCATACGTGAAGCATTGGCAGGCTTCAGCGTGCGTATGAGGAGTTTTGCAACTCTGGGTCGGCTTTCAAAAGGTTGCATGGTCAGGTGTCGGTCCTAGACACCCCATATGATGATATATTTCATGTTTAGATAATAGTATTTTTGCTTCATCATAATGTTTTATTACTTGGGTGCGTTGGTGTTGTATAGTTCAGACGACACAACCACATAATGGGGGCATCGATACCGTTCAGCCGCGGCTTGCAGTTTTGCCCTTAGAGTTGCCTCTCTCGGAAACCAATGCCTTCTGCCGCTTCATGGGGGACTTACACGCTACTTCCCTCTTGACTGGTGGCTATAGACTGCTGAGTCATCCCATACAGAATTTCTCAAGCTTCGGCGTGAGCCGTATTGCTGTTCAAGGTGTGCGTTTTCGTGTTAGGTATTGCTCAGTTCAGTTCTTTCCATATGGGCCTCGCCCCGCGCGTCTCCTTGCTGCCTCGTTGCCACTCCTAACCAAAACAACTTGTCCTTGTGTTGCCGTGTGGTTCTATCTACAAGGTCTTAGAATAAGCACTCACGCTGGCAGCATGCTTCCTTGCGCTGTATTCGTAACAGGCTGCTTTGTCCGCTGGTTGGTTCCGTGAGTGGAGGGGGTTTCCTGGCAGGCTGGGTAGGAAGCTGTGGTAACAGTGTGGGCCGCTCGAAATAGTCCGGAGAAACGTCATGGCAAAGGGCTTACAAGAGCCAGAGAACTAAACGGGATTCCTGGGGCCCTAACATGAGCCGACGTGAAATGTCTCGATGCAATGCTGATGCAAACCAAAAGTGTACAGGATGCTTAAGATGCCTTTCGCTGAGCAGCGGACATCATCAGCACACACTCAAGACCAAGTGCCGGGATAGAGGCATTTGAGAGGACAGCGTCAAGCTCGGCCCATGCCGGGGTTGTATATGTGCGTGTATGTGTGCGTGTGTGCTACATGATCGAGGGGTGCGTTCCCCCTAGCTGCAAACCGCCCAATACGAGCCGAGGCCTGAAAGGCTGCCAGATCGCCAATAAGCACCATCCCACCTCGCACTTCAGATAACGCAAGTGATAACGTCCAAAGGGAACGACAGAGTGCACACACGGTGCATGTGCGCCACTACTCACCCAAATAGCTAGCAGCGAAATCAGCTCAGACCTCAATTCCCCGCCGGCACCTTTTTGTTCCAATTGTAACCTCGACAAAATACGTGCGTACAGGAGACCCTTTCCTTTTTTCGGTGATTACCCTTAAAGGGAAAACGAAATCCGAAGGATGGGAGCTGCCCTCTTCTTGGCTTAGTTTACAGATGTGTACGGCACGCCATATGTACGGCACAGTACTCCAGGGTAGGTGAATAGCTCCGATGGCTCTTCCTGGGAGATCGTGCTATGTGCTGTAAGGATAAGGAATTTGTTGTAAACCTCCATAAGACGTGGGTTAAAAGACCTGCCTTTAGCAAGATGGAGCTCAGCAACCAAAATTGAATATGGGCTACAAAAGGCAAACCAGCCCGCAAGGAGTCTGTCAGCCAGGTGGTAAAACAAATAAACAGCTGCCACCACGCACCATGGCCTCTCCGGACCGCACTGTCGTTCTGGGCAGCTAGAGAGAGCACCAGGCCGGACAGGACAGGACGAAACAGGACAGAGGAGGCCAACTGCTAACCTGGACCACACAGCTGAAAGGAAGGACACACTGGCGACTGAAATAAAAATAGTGGCTGCAAAAGCTCCACAAATCACTATATGGCTTAGGTCGCAAAGCTTCCACAGGCTGGAACACCTGTCTGTTTGCTCGAGCTCGCTTGCCCCGCTGGTGGATGGCCCAAACATGAGGCCAAGCAGGGCTCCCCCCTGCATATGTAAGCATACAAGTTGTGTGTGTCGTATATGTCATGGATCCATGAATCCTCCATGGGATCCAGTGCGGCCCGTCTATTATCCAAGCATCCACGCGGATGGATGGAATCTCAATAGCTGATGCTTTCCTGGTTCAACCCGTCCAATGTGGGCCCTATGTGTGTATATGGGGGTGAACGGCCGGAGCCACAAGACTGGCTGGCGGCATGGGAGTCGTACCATTGGCGAGTGACCCCGGGATGGGTCCCATGCATTCGCTCAGATTGGAGGAGACATACATGATGTTGGCTCCTGTCATTGGCCCGGCGCCGTGGTCAGTGCCAGGATCGCCTGCTGGAGTTTTCCTATTCCCTTTGGCAACTGGAATGAGTGGCGCGGCGTGTGTGACGTGGCGTTATGTGGTGCGGTGTGGCGGCAGCATCCTCTCACATCATCCCTCTCAAAGCGCGTAGTTCCCAACACGGACGCCTGATATGAGCCAGCAGTCCTGTATGCATGTATGTATGTGCGGGGCAGGTACACCATGTACGAAGAATGGGAAGAAATAAGAAGAGGAAAGTGTGGTGGACCTTCAGCAGGAGTTTCATCATTGGCCATGAGCGTTTAACCGGGGGAGGACAATGATAGCGAGATCTTGAAATGGTGGCGTGTGCATGCAAGTACATGCTTAGGAAACCTTTCACCCCCAATGCACTGTACCCGGTACCGCCTCCCGCCCCTTACAGCCGCCACCGCCACACAGAAATGGCGACATGGTGGAATCGACACATGCAATGAAGCAAGCTGTCCCTGCAGGCAAGCTGACCTAACCAGTTCGGCGTTCGGGAGGCTGCAACACAAGGACCTCCACACCTAGGAAAACTAGGAAAGGATGGCGGCTGTCAGGAAGGCCAACAGTCCAACACACGCACACACACGGCACCGCAGCAGCCTCACCTTGAAAGCACCGCTCTCCACGCGCTCCCAACAAAACGTGTATGTGTACGATCGAAGTGCGCTACTGGTGGACCTGGTTTCGGTGCCACTACCCGTGCGGCTGCAATTAGACCGCTCCGCCTCCGGTTGCCATGGCTGGCGCGGCCGCGACCGCACTTCCACTGCCTGTACGGCCTTGTTGTCGTACCGCTCGCTCGGGAACACCAGCGGCGACACTACACGCCACTGGTCACAGTTGATTAGCGGGTTGTACGACACATGCAGCATGGCATGAAAGCGCGGCCAGGACAGCCACTCCTCTCCAGCCATCCAACTTCGCACGGCACCCGCCTCCTGCAGTTAGTTGGTTAGGAGTTGGGGGTTAGCAAGGGAGCTACGGTTGGGTTGGGTCGTAGGGAGCAAGAGGAGTGAGACGCACGTGAGAGGCGCACTGTGGTGTCGTGTTTGGAAGTCCCAAAGCAGACACCCCTGCTGGCCCCCATCCCGTCCCCATCCCGCGACCAGTATCCCCCCATCCCGCGACGTTTCCCCCCGGGGCCCCATCCGCTCCCCACCCCCCGCCTCACAGGTCCCTCGGCGGCGGGTATCGTGAAGTTGAATGCCGCCTGCACCCCGGAGTCGGGCTCCGGCCAGTCGTTGCACTGCAAACCAAGATAAAGCGAAGAGGGATGGGGTGGGGTTCGGGGATGGTAATCAATAAAGAACGCAACAGTCTCTCGGGGAAAGGGGTAATGTGTACTGCCGGGGACCGGAAACCGTGTGGAGGTAAAGGCGGGGATTTGGAAATTGCTGCGCCCTGGAGTAGAACTCCGCATCGGAAGTGGTGTTCAGTACGCGCGTGTGTGCGTGTGTGTATGTGAGAAGGAAGAGAGAGGAGAGGGAGAGCCACATGTATGGTGGAGAATGTGTGACGATGGAAGCTGCCATTGTCGTTGCCATTGTTGTTGAGGCCGTTGCAACGAATGCCAGTCCCCGGCATGCGGTGCTGGTGTACACGTGAACTTGGCGGAGGTGAGGCAATATGGCGGGATATGGCGGGACGCAAACTGCCGCTAATCATTGTTGAAGATTCCACTAGTACAACCCCCCATCATAACATAACGAACGTAACCGACACGCAACCAACATATTAACACGCGAGCCAACCAACAACTATGAAATGGATGGCTATACCATGGCCCAAAGCAGCTGGCTGCTGACGGCGGAAGGGAGGACTGGCAGTCCTACCGACCGCCAGAAAGACGCAACAGGAGGTGCTAAGACGAAGTAGGGGAAGAATACAATCCAACCTGGAACGCGAAAACCCTGACCAGCTGGGGTGGGGTGGGGTGGGGGAGACATGCGGGCCCAGCCCTGGCCCAGCTGGTCGGGTCAGCCCCCAGCAGCAGCCGGACAGAGATTGGATTACCCTACTGCGTGGCTGGCCTTGCTTGGCGCCATCACACTTCCTCAAGTGCCCAACACCACCGGCGTCCAAGAACGCCTCAGGACGCGCGGACACGTCAACCCGCATACGGGAACCCGGAGGGGGGCCCGCACCTGCAGCATCGTCATCGCCTGCTCCAGAGCCGCCGTTGGAGGCAGCAACGGGGCTGACATGCGGCGGGGAAGGGGAAGGGACAGCGGAAGGTGTCAGGGAAGAAGGTTGAAAGGTTTGAGGGAGGAAGAGCTCGCTACGGCCATCACCGGCTACAACTGCACAAGGGGACCGTCCCTGCTCGTGGTAGCTTATAGGTCAACGTCCCAACATCAAATCCAACAACAGAATGCATTTGGTCATGGTAAAAGAACCAACAGCGGTTCGCATGCGAAATTGCCGTACTGCAATCTTTCCCCACCGTACATGGGTTCAGCTGCTGCACCGCAGCCGCAGGCGACTTGATCCCCTGCGGGGAAAGGAGGGAAAGCAGCTTCAGCGAGAGCGAAAAGGGGGATAAAAGGGATTTTGGCGGCAATCGGCGCGTGGCAATGTCAGGCAGCATGTTCACGGGATTATGCGGTAAGGATTCGGAGCCACCGCGTGCCGTACCGCTTGGATTTTCGCGTGTGCGCCTCAGCGGATCCTACCTTGAGGGAGATGAATTGATTGAATATGCCGCTAAGGCCTCCATCGCCACCTGCGTGCAAGGAACGACCCAGGTAAGATACGTGACGCGGAAGGTATGTCACCGACCTGCCACACACTTGCCTTTGGGTTCGTCTGCCTCGCTTGAACGGATTATTGTTTTGACTGCTGTCTTAGCACGGTTACGGGCCTGGGAATGGTTTCCTGTAATTAGCGTCCGTTTAGGCGGGCAGCCTAAGCGTGCAGTGAGTTTTGACGGAACGGGCGCTGTCACCATGCTGGCAGCGAGAAGTCCACTTGGGATCAGTGAATATGGAATAATTGGAAGAAGTGGTAATGACGGGCTGGAACCAAAGATTCACCCGGGATTGCTCCACTGGAAAGCCGTACGATGTCCGTAAAGTCGTGAAACGGCCCAAGACGATCTAGGACCCCATAAGTTTGGTTCTGCTTACAAGACGAGATTGACGGGACAAGAGCTAGCTTTGCATCAAACCTGACAGGCATAACGTTTAGGTCGTTTGTGCGTCGGAGAAGCGCAAGCAATAAGCATCTTTTTTCCCTGTGGATAACACCCTTATAGTCTTAACTACGATATTTCCACAGCACATGCTCCAAAGTTCCCTGCAGCCCGTGCCGCAGACCCGGGCGAACGTGAAAGGTGTTCCGACGCGGCCTATGTCCAGCTCTAATTATCCTTCTGGTAAGTTGTGGAAACCTGCATAGTTGCCCAGCACGCACGAGCGGAAGTCTGTTAGCGGCCCTTGGGCCAACGACCATCTGCCCGTTATTGTATTATTAGCTTTGACAACGTCTGGATGACAACACCTCTTGCTGAGCTGCTTATTCACTCCTGTGTCGACGCTGTCTTTATCCTCATCTTTTTCACTGTTACGTGGCAACGACATTTCGCTTTGTTACGCGGTGGCTCATTAGGGCGCCCTAAGAGCAGCAACAAGCGTACAGTTGCGGAACTTGAACGACCAGGCTCGGCGCAAGCGGTTCCTTTCCAACAGCAGATGCAACCTGAACCGATACCGTTGAAGTACGTGGTACAGGAGGCTGTGAAGCGCTGGTTTGAGGATACGCTCCTGGAAGCTCAGAGGGGTGATGTCAAGCAGCAGGCTTTGTTGGGGGAGATGTACAAGGTAAGGAGGTCGGGGGGCGGCAAGTCGGGGCAAGTGACGCGTGACAAGTTGCCGTTACACGGTAAGCCGTAGGGAAGCATTTGGGTCGTATCCATTCAGCGATGCAGGGGGTTTCCGTAGATTGCAGGCAAGCGTGTACGGATGCAATCTACGTACTTTGTGGCTGGTGCATTCCACTTTTGCAGAAAGGCAGGCGGGCGTAGCAGCTTGGTACCCCTCAAGCCAGTATGGAGCTGTAGCTTAGGGCGGGCATCTGAACCCTGGAGTGCTCCTACTGTGCAAGTCTTGACCTGAGCAGACACATCATAAGTTTAGATAACCGTGTTCCCTAAGCCTCCTCCGACCTTCCTTTGTTTGATCTGCCGGATTAATGCTGCAACATACGCTCTGAACGATTTTGAATGCAGAACATGAGGACGGTCTTTCAAGTATTGCATGACTCGATGTGCACGCACTTACCCCTTTTGGTAGTTAGTATAGCGTGCGGGGATGAAGCGCGGGGTAATGTGTGTACCTGCCAACTTGCCTTGCTGGGCATCCGCCGCCTTTACCACTGGGCTTCCGCCACCTTTGGCATCTTCCCATCGATTCTGCCGCGGTCTGCAGGAGGGTTACGGGTGTCAGAAGGACGTGCGCGCTGGCAAGGAATGGTCAGAGAAGGCAGCTGCGCGCGGCTACAAGATGCAGGGCGTCTATTGCGAGCTGTGAATAACCATCAGCCCTGACTGCGACAACGGCAAGAAAACCGAAAGCAGCAGTGCATTGCGCCTGGCTTTGATTGCCAGGCATAAAATTATGCGCATGGACCTTTTTTAGGCAAACACATGCATGTGGATGTGGTCTGAGCGTCATGTGCTTTACATCTGATCTCGAGAGACCGTCGGTATCTATCCGGTGGTACCTGTCGAAAGATTCCTTTAAAGGTGTGGATGTCTCAACGCCCAGGTGATGATGTGCGTGGGAGCAGCTGCGCAGCTCTTTTTCGTCTGAAGCATGTTTTGTAGCTTGTTGGTATGATGGCATTGGGTGCAAACCTTCTGAACTGGTTGGCAGTGCGGGGAGGTCGTCCTGATTAGCCTTGCGTGCCGGCGGGATTCAACGACTACAGAGCTGCGTTGTACCTATAATATAGGTACTTTATTTGTATTGAAGTACTCATTGTGGGTCGGGTAGGTTAGAAGTTGGGCAGATTGTGGCAGCGCCCACATGACTGCCGTGTCATGCATTCAGTGCATGAGCATTACGAGCTTGATTTCGGTTGTCGTCAAAAGCTGGGAGGACTGCTTGTTTCGGATTTGGAAGTATTTGTGAGGGTGTGTATGCGATGCGGTTCTTGTTGCAGTCTCGTTATCACACTGGGATCATCGGTTGTAGTCTTAGGCGTCAAAAAAGAAACACAGCAGATCCCTAACAGCACATCTGCACATCGCAACGTTGGCATAAAATAGGGCTGCGGAAGCTGTCCCGTTGTGATTAACGCTGCATTAGCTGAACTGGGCTGAGAAACGGATGCGCCCATATGGGGCCGGAGGGTAAACAGCCGGTGCTGGACGAGTTTTGATAGCCGCATTTGTGGCATCACGGCAAGGTTGGCTGTAGGGGCCCCTTTCAAAAGCCTTACTGCCTCTGGGGTGTTAGATTCCGATGGCGATACTTCTCCCTTTACGTCTCCTCTTTCCAGTCTAATACTAAGGATGAAAGCCAAATGAGCGGAAGCAACCAGGAGGGAGCGTCCCGCGGTATCAGGCTGGTTTGCCTCAAAAGGTTACGCCTATGGCCACGGATCAGTATATGGGCACGCATGCTCCGTTCTGCGCGTGCTCTTTAAGTTAGCAATTGCAACACCCTGCAGAAACGTAATCGGGTAACCAACCGTCCTTACAAATGTGCAGGAGCTGAGCTGCCAGATTTAAGCAGCAAGTGCACAGCGTCCCAAAGAAACCTTCAGACGTATATGAACGCCATCTGCTCTGTCATTGTGTCAGCTGGTCACGTACCCTCCACCAATTCCAGCTTTAATGTGCAATCTGGCCATCATGTACCAGGGGGCCACACCGGGTCTGCAGCAGGTCCAACCTCGGCATGGTATAGGCAGAGCTACCCTCCTTAACCTAAACGCAACAGCAAGCCTCCCTGTCCAACGACCTGGAGCCAACAGGACGCCAGCTCCCAGACATACATAAGTCCACGCAGCCAAGGGGCAGGCAGATAGATATCACCGCATCCCACACTGCCGCAATCAGTTCAGAAAATGCACATAATATCCGTGGTCGCGTGCTGGTAGACTTTACACGGTCACATGCATCCACCATTCTAGCAAGGCCATAGTACGACATTAGTCCAGAGCATGCCCTCCTACGTTGGGCTGCTGCACCTGGGCGAAGACGCGGCAACGCATGCAACGAAAGCCGCGGGAACAGAACACCCTGCCCCGGGGTGCGCCTTCCCGACTTCCCTCCCTTGTCACCACCTAGCTGTGGACAGCGTCCCGTGGGAAAGCGCCGCTTCCAGTTCCCCAACTATGTTGACCTCCGTTCAAGGTCCAAGGTCACACCGGCCGTCTAACCGGAATACGATGTAACACCCGCGCTCTTCCAACACAGGAAGAGCCGAGGTTCAAACCGCTCCGCTCCGCACTGGCCAGCCTGTCCACCATTTCCTGTCTTAGTGCTTGCCCAGGTCCGCGTCACTCTTTCGCGCAATCTCCACCACCGCGTCCAGTTTGGCAATTTCCAGGTCGTCGAACTTCTGTCCCTTCTCTGGTTTGGACGTTATCCGCAGGTTCGGACTGAGCTTGAGGGAAGTGACGGCGCCCTTGTCGTCACCCACCAGCACGATGGGCTGCTTGGGGTTGAACACCAACTTGGTCAGTTTGGCCTTCTTAACCACCTGCAGAAAGCAGAGGACGACGGAATAGCATCGAAAGAAGAGCAGCGGCGAGAGTTATGCCATGCATGCAGGAAGCGGAGAATACAACCATGACGCACGTGCATGTCGCTGCGCTGCATGCCACGACAAAACACGTGAAAACAGCTTGTCAGCCGCTTGAGGTGCTAAAAATGGAAAGCTGACCCCATACCTGAAACCCGCATGTAGGCCCCGCAAAATTCCTAACTCATCCCAAAGCCAGCCAAAGCGCCTCCAACCCCCACCTCCCCTTCAATGTCCCACCTGCGTCTCTCCTATCTTTCACCTTCATCCTAACGCCCATTCGTCCACAACTAAAACGCTCAACCCACCTTTTGACTGCAAAGCGGCAGCAGCTTGTTCTGCGCCAGGTCAAACACGTGCACCCGCCCGTCGTCGGTAACCGCCGCGAACACCGTGGCCGAGTAGGGCGCCCAAGCCACATCACCGATTGAGTCGTTCAGATCGAAGTTCATGACGGGCCGCTTGGAGTCATGCACGTCCCATAGCTTGATTGTCCAGTCCGCGGAGGACGAAAGGAACATGTTGGGGTGGATGTGGTTCCAGCTGACTGCATAGACCGCTAGGTGGTGCGCTACGTAGGTGGACAGATACTGGGAGCTGTAGGCCTTGGAGCAGCGGTGGATGGCGCCCTCTTCCGTGCCCACCAGGTAGATAGACTCCTGGCCGGGCATCTGTGGGGAACGCGGTGGGCGAGGATGGCGGGTCGCAGCGTACACACCAGCATGAATGGTGGGAATGGCGGAGGGAACAATTGGTAGGAGGAAGTAAAAGAAATGCGCAAGAGACGTCACAGCATTTGTAAGTAGTTTATCCAGAACGTTTACGCTCAGGTTGTGGCTGAATCTGCGCAGCTAAGCCCTCAACACAAATGAAGTCGCCGCACTGCCTGCCGTCCTAGCCCACCAAGCCTTGAGCAGCCAGCGCCTGCCGAGAGCTTGTTCCGCAGCAACCTTTTTATTTTGCCATTCTCTACCAGAACCTAACTGTGCCCTTGGATGAGGAAGACGTCCCACTCTAATGACACCCGCCATTGTTCCCAATCCTTTGTGGCCGCGCATATTTTGTAAGAAGAAAGACTTGTGCCCTTACAAGACCCAAAACGCGAAACGCACAGGTGAGGGCAGTCCCTCGCCTGGTGTATTTTGACATGGTCAAGAGGCCGAGGGCCGCACCTTGCAGAAGTCCATGCAGCAACCCCCCGCCGGCCCCGACGCTGTGGGGTCCTCCTCACTGGTCTCCCCTGCCTTCACCACTCGCAGCTTCATGAGACACTCGGGTATGAGCTCCGACTTGGTGAGCGTCCACAGGTTGACGTTGCCGTCACTGGAGATGGACACGAAGTGGAGAGCCTTCTGGGCCTCATCCACCTGGGGCAAGCAAAATTCATGCAGACGAGGTGGAGGAGCGGGCAGGGAGAGGGAGTAAGACGTCGATGGCGGTGCATTATCGGTACGAAGCTGTTACCAGCAGCAAAGAGATGGAATGAAGTTTGAATGCCTCCTTCCCTTCCAGCAGCTTCGCGATGCTGCTGGAGACTGTTTCCATGCTCATCCCACAAAGCTCCACCCCACATGCCACATCCCAACTCACTGACATGGGCCCTACCACATGCGCCACCACCACATGCGCCACCACCACATGCGGCCCCCTACTCCGTCCTCGGCCGCTGTCATCATCCCCAACACCAGCCGGCGGTCATCCTCGCGTCCTCCTTTTCGCCCTTACCTGCCACACCACCTGCCACACTGGGTCGTTGTGCTTGCCCGTCCGCACGGACGCCTGGTAGATCGGCTCGTCCTTCCTGAGCCGTACGTCGTACACCAGCACGGTGCCGTCGTAGCACCCCACCGCCAGCAGGTTGGCATACTCCGGATGGAAGTGTACGCACATGACGCCCGACTCGGTATGAAAGGTGTACTCGGGATGGGATGGATTCTTAAGCGAGTAGATGTTGATGAGGCCGCTGGCCTGCTTCAGAAACTCGTAGCTGCCGTAACCAACCGCAAACATGTCGTCATACATGGGGTTCCAGCAGATGCTGGTGACCTGTCGCCGCTTGGACTTTTCTGACGCGAATTTCCACAGTGGCAGCAGGGAGCCTTCCCCGGGTCTACGTGGGCGACGGACAACGTGGAGCAGTGGGGTTCGTGAAGGTCCGTGGATAAGAAATGCCATTGCACAGGCAGGGTAACAATCCCATCTAGTGCAAATGTGCATGGTGGCGCGTGAGAGAGAGCAGGCCGTCCGCATATGGCAAACGGATTCGTTGGTTCCCATGCCAAATCCATATACACCGCGGAGAGTTAAGAGGAAAAGACGACCAGACCCTGACCAGGTCTTGGAGGTACGTGCGTAAAGGATTGTAACAGTAACAGGGTCTTCAAGGTGGGGTCTATTGCAAAAAAGTAAATTCCCCGAAGGGCCCCGGCCCGGTACCGCGCTCCACGTCAGGACTCCACCAGCCTGGGCAACTTCCGTCACCCGGTCACCCGCCCTGACGCTTCAGGCAACCGTTGGACGAGTGCATGGCGGCTGCGCCCAGCATGGCAATAAGGGTCTATCAGGGTACATTGCTGCGCGGGCGCACGTGCCTGAGGTGCTACCTGGGGCAGCACAGCCTCAATACGCGACCGGCCCCACGGTCAGGAGGCGCAGATGAACGGGTGGATCAGCCGGAAGGCCCGGCTGTGACCGGGCTTGGAGGACAACAACGGGTACATGTGCGCGACTGTGCACCGGAAGTGGGGCATGCCCAATCGTCATTTTGCGGCATAAGTGGTGCCCCGCGGGGCAAACGGAATTACCATGGCACTGCTAAATACCTTGTCGGCAAGCGAGCGTTGGTGCTCAGTAAGGCCATAACCGTGCCGTAACCCCGGTACGGGGTCAAGCACCAGCCTCAGGATTGACAGAAGCGGGCAGCGTGCGGCGGCGGCTGTAGCTGCTAGAGTATTGTGGCGCATTTAAGACCCCCACCAGGTTGCTGTTACGGATATGCCGGTGCCCTCCCTGGCTAAACTCCGTCCGGCAGCACACAGAACGTGCGGACATACGGGCTGCCCGTGCGGTGGCGAAAGCTGGGACTACGTCTTAACAATGCCACCACGCCATAAGACAATGGCAGCCGTCGATTCCAGAGCCTCGGCAACGGCGAAGCACAGCGCCGCCGGATCTTTCACAGCTGCCAACGCATACGCTTAAGAACAAAATGGGTGCATTTCCAGCCCTCTTCTGCAACATTTCCTTCTCTGACACCATGCCTCGGAGGATACCAGAGCAAACGCAAGCAACCCATCCTCCTCTCAGCTGACAGCTCCAACCGGAATCCAGTTATCCCCTGCTCTTCTTACCGACCCCGTATAGCCCCTGTCCCCCTGCTGCAGAACCCAGCTGCTGGTGCTGGTGCTTGCCGCAGTGTAGGCACCCGCTGCCTCACGGAAACCCTCGCACCCTCGTTACCGCCTGCGACCACCAGTGGATATATCACTTATCCAGTATAGGGTACTCGCACACACCTGAAGGCATCTGATGCGTCGTCCCAATACTTGAAGTCCATGGCCACTTCCTCGAACATGTTCTGGTTCACCATGCGGTCTAGCGTGCCCAGGCTGTGCAGCAGTGCCTGGCTCTGCAGGGTGGGCACATGCTCCTGCTGCTTGGAAGCTGTGCCACTGTGCTGTGTCGCCGCCTGGTGCTTTTTGGCACCGCGCGTCTTCGCCGCCTCATCCAGCCGCTGGCGCTCCAGGTCCTTAATGTACTCATCATATATCTCCCATTGCATGCAAACCCCTGCCGCACACGTTGCACCGCACAGTATTTAATGCATCACCCTTGGTTGAAGCACGTGGTCCAGCGTGCCCGCGCGTGGGTCCGAATTGCTTATCACCAGAGTAATCAGGTTAGGAGGGCTCCGTGGTGTGCAACGGGGCTTCAGGAAAGGCATAGGAAAGGCGGTAGCTCATAGCTTGAATGAATGCAGGACAATGTGAATGGTGCGGTCATACTCGTGCCGCGGGCATGCCGTGCGCGGCTTTAGGAGCCCCCGAGCTCCCACCTGACACCGTAGCGGTTGGGGGAGGCTCCGTGAAAGTTTCCCGTTCACGCAGAGGATAGTTGAGCGTCTGTGCGGCGCGCTCGCTGAAGTTAAACTGGTTGCGCAGCTGTCGGGAGTCATCCGGGGGCTCCACGTCCCCGTGCTCCTTATGCTCGTGGCTAGCGCGATCGAGGTCGGCCTGGAAGCGGGCACTCGCCTCCTGCTCCATTTTCTCCATATCCAGCTGGCGCTTGGCTTCGTCGGAGCTTTTGTGGAGGAGCCAACCGTCGGTAGCGTAGTGTACAACGGTCTGTTCCACCATCGGCTCCAGCTTATACACCTTGTCCTTCATGTTGAAGCGAACAATGTTCTTTGGTGCCGCTGGATTGTTGGCTGTCAGCATTTTCGCCACTTCCTCATTGAGGTCCGCTTCGCTCAACTTCAGCTGGTTATCCGGCTTAACGATTTCACGAATTGGCTGCGATGACGAAGCAGACATGTCGTCAGTCCCTGCAGGTCAGCACACTCCATACAACTCCCGCGCGTACGCACCATGGCGAATGCCTCATCGCCGGGCATAGGGGGCGGGGGAGGAACATAGTCCACAGCCTGCGCCTGCTCAATGACCTTCTTCTTGCCCTTCCCCTGCAACGCCAGGACCATTTCGGAAAATGAGCCAGAGTCCGGAGCAAGGCTGCGTCGCGCGGCTTGCAGACCTTTTCCAGGGGCTTCTTGGCTGGAGCCGGTCCAGGCATGATTGCTCTAATACCTATAAGCGGCTCTTGAGTTAACTAAAGACCGCCTAGGGCCAGGCGTCAGCCCTGAACTTTTGTCGGGACATGCAGTCTAAGCTTAGTTGGCACAAGCGCTTCGTAAGGAATAATCGTAACTGCACCACACTGAACGGGCGATAACTAAAAATGTCACCTTACAGCACGCCGGCGATTCTTAGCTATTACTGTACGACCGCGAGCGGTGCCCTGCCATCTGATAGGTGTAAGCCTGGACATAAGCTTATGATAATGTTATACTTTTACGAGAGCTTTGGGTTACTACGCCTGAGAGAGAATTCAGGCCCTCCCTTTTCAGTGAACCACAAGAGTCAACACCGTCAGAATTCAGATCAAGCTTATCATATCATATCCCACCACTTATTTGCTCAAAATATCACCATTTGCATATAGTTGGAGAAAACTGGGTCCCTGCCCCGTGGGTCATATATCTGCCTTGGGCAGCTGCAATGTTGCGCCGAAGGCCCAGACGAAAGCACGGAGAGGCTGCCAGGTGCTTGAATCTAAGAGGACGTTGCACTTCTTGATCTTGTCCCTGGGCTTGCCACGTTTCGGCCTTGCTGCCTCACCAGACCGCCCAACCTGTCTTCTGCGATGGCGTCGCTGTAGTTCCGATGCCGGTCAATAGACGGTGTAGTGTTATAGAATGTAATTCAGGCACATGAACACCCTTGTGATATGCAGTCACGTGGGACATGCTACTGGATGCGTGCCACGTTTGAAAAGCTTGTTTGGCTATCAAGCTGGCACCATGTCTACGCGTCGCAAACGGAATCGTATCAACCAGGATTTCCTTTAAGGGGTGATGCAATAGTCGGTAATGATGCATGGTTTGGTACTGGTTCTGCGTTAACGCCGGGGGTATGAATAGGTGATGGAGCTATCATCGGCGCCATACAGTGTAGAAACGTTCACCTCGCTGCCACCGCGGAAAGAGTTCAGGGACACACGACGACAAGCAACGCAAGAACGCGCAGCAAAAGCTTTCTTAGGACGATATACAACTACGCAGGTTGTTAAGCTGAAAGAAAAGACTGAGGAGGTCTAGGCGAAAGGGTAGAAGCAAAAGCGGACAATAACCAGGTGGGTACGACACGACTGACACGAGGGTCCCGCACCTGGAGTGGGCTAGGACGGGCACGACGCATAAGGGGAGGAACGACGGGGACCAGCGTCAAGCCCCAAGGGGCCATTCTGCTGCCAGGACCTTTTTCCACAGCTAGAAACTATTACGCCACCCGGGGGACAGCGATGCACCATGCATGCACTCGACCGATCACGTGCGCACGCACCTTGACCATGGGCTTGTCCAGGCACTGCCGTCATGCGGTACAACTGGGGTTCCGGATAGGCCCCCGCTCTCCTGATAGGTTGCGCCAGCAGGTTCAGTGCGGGCGACGGTCGCACTATCCAATGAATGAGCACACGGGCCGCAAACTCAAATGCGCTTGACGAACAAGCACAACACGTGGTACTCTTGAGCGGGATAGGTTACAGCTGTTTTCACGACGTGCTGAATTGGGGTTTTTTACGGGAGCGCATCTCGTTTGTGAGGCAGCTACCCTCGGGCGCCTCTGGAGAGTTTCAATCGGGCACTCGTGAACAGAATCCACACGACGGAAGCGTGCTTCTCTATATGGGCCCCGCCACTGAGAAGTTCGCAAATCTGTTCAGTCGTGTCAGGAGCGTGGCAGGGATAAATGCATGGGCGCACACCGCACCCCTTCCTGGTGGACCCATGCTGACGGGCTGCGAGGAGGATGCCATAGCTCTGTGTGAAGAGACATTCGAGTTATACATTTGCACGTGTGTGCTGATGTGTTCTTGTGCCCGTCATATGACGTTCTGTGCGGTCCGGTAAGGTCTACAGTGTGGTCTGAATGAAATGTTTCCGGTATCGTTTGTGGTAGGTTTGTAAGAACCCTTCTTTCATGGGTGCATAAGATAAGAAGAAGGCTCGAAGGTTGGATGGCCAGGAAGCATGCACACATACCCTCATAATCAACTTGCGAGCTGACCAGGAACTAAGTTGATGCGCCGTTGATCCGCTAGATTTGGTTGGATGCTGGTGGTGAGTTGCCGAACCCAACGAATACATTCTGAAGTCGGATGGGGTGACGGATTAGGGTGCCCCTCTAGCAGGGGAGAGCAGGGACTGCCCGGGAAAGGGGCCGCTGGCGAAGTTAACCACCCTGTAACAACATACACATACCCTGCTTTCCTAACCCGCGCACTTGGCTTGGTCGTTACGTGCCTTGTACGTAATATTCTGTCTTTTGTATCCGGTTTCATTGTGGCGGCATCGTGCACATGGTCCCGTACGCCCTGTCCGTTGAGCCGTCCCGGGTGACAAGTAATGGTTGCATGAGTGCTTGTGGCGACGCATTTCTGCATGTCAACTCACGAATGCTTGTTCATAGAGGATTAGGATTACACATGCCCATGGTCGCCAATAATATATAGCTCGTCATGCTTCGTCAATCCTTCTAAGAGAACGGTCGGTTCCCGGTCTGACCAGCGGGTCACTGCATGCCTACGGGGGCAACAGGACGGCAGCCATCGGAGCGGTATCTCGCAATGTGCCATTTCTGATTACGTGCTAATTCAATTAGGGTGCGCTTATCGGTCGAGGCTGGATGTTAGTGGATTGCTATGGTGAGGAATGGAGTTTAACTTCAGCGGCTAGTTACCGGACTGGCTACCCTGACAATCTGGACGTACTGCATACTTATTACATGTCCTCATGCCAGATGTGCCACAAACGAAACCTGTAATGGCTGATGATACTAAGGAAAGGACCGTCGGTGCATACAAGGGAGGTTGCACAAAAATGGGTGCTGCATTCCTTTTTTTTAGCACTCCTGGTGCATACCGCATAGCCCAAGATTGCACAGATCGAGGGGCGGGACCAACAGTGAGGACAAGCTCAGCTCATCGGCGCATTCCGGAAGGCAAATCCGCCCACAGGGGCTCCCAGCTACCGCCCCCAGTTAAACCCCTGCCCTGCTCCCCCTCGCTGCTGCTGGCCCCGCCCGTGACAAGCGGCGATGCCGCCAGGCGCAGCAACATTCTGCTGTCATACCGTATCCGCTGGTCAAAGCGCGACAAGTAGTCTCCGGATAACGCAGCAGCATTGCCTATACAGCCACCTGCAGCGCCTCGACTCTGCTGGCTCCCCGCTGCCGATGCGGTGGCGCCGCGACCAAAGCCCTTTGATGCTGAAGGTGGGGACGACGGTGACGCCCTTGCTGCCGTAACCCGCGATGATGCCGCCGCCGCAGCCTTGCCGTTGACCACAACGAGGGCGCCTGGCCTGCAAGACGCTGCCAGACGCGCTGCGTCTTGCTCCGAGACCAGCCAGCAGGCCTGAAGCTCCAGTCGCCGCAATGACGGCAGGCCGGTCGATAACAGCAGCAAACCGTGGCCCGTCAATTGGGCATCCTTGGATGGGATGGGATGGGAGGGGAGATGGTAAGGCCGGCATTAGCCTATTCAGGGGAAACGTATGGCACGTGGTGGGAGTGCTGGAAGTGGTTGGATTACACCACAGGGAACATACGGCATACCTGGGGGTGGGGGATTTCGCCACATGGTGCACAAGGCACACGGCGGAAGTACTGGTGTGAACCAAGCCAAGCTGTACGCCGAGCTATACACCACATGAAACCCTCAGCGGCTCATCAGCAGCTTACCCGCAGAAGAAGGCTGTGCAGGCTGGGCAGCTCTGCCGCTGCCAGGACCGCCATCGTGCCATCGGTCAGCCCTGGCCCGCCCGCTTTGAGCTGCTCCAGAAGCCCCAGATTTCCACCACCGCCTCTGCCACGGTCGCCCATAAGCAGAGCACGAAATCCCGCCTCGCCGACCCGAGTTCCGAGCAAGTTGAGCCGCCGCAGCCGCGGCCATACGACCCCGCCGCCGTCACCGTTGTTTCCATCACCGCTAGTGCCTGACGAAGAGCATGTCGTACTGCTGCAGCCTCCCGTTTCTCTTTCCATGTCACGGCAGCCCCTCGTGTTGCTGCTGCTGGTGCTGCCAATTGCTGCTCCTGAATCGGCCGCGGCGGCCATAGCCTGCGGTGCGGCAGCAGCTGCAATTGCTAGACCCTGGCGTGTAGGACCCAGCTGCGCCCGCGCAGGTTCCTCGACGTAGCCGCCATCGCCATGTCCCGGGCGGGCGTCCGGCACCGCTGCCCACACATCCACCGGGGCGGCTAGGTCAGGAAGTGCCGGTGGCTGTGGTGGCTGAAGCGGTGGCTGTAGCTGGGGCCGAGCCGGCCCGGGCGTTGGTTCGGATGTGCGCGTGGTGGGCGCCAAGGTGAGGTCTGTGTTGTCGGACAGGTTGAGGTTGGTGAGGGCGGTGAGTTGCTGTAGCCAGGATACGGCGGAGTCCGTCACGGAGCACGAGGACAAGTTCAAGTCCTGGTGGAGGGTTTAACCGGGGGAGGGGGGCCGATGGACGGCGGGTGTGTGTGTGCCAGAGTGGAGACGTGTTCGAAGGAAGGGAATTATGCAATGCACGGGGTTAGGGAGGGTTATTCGTGTGAAGGAGGAAGGTAACGTGTAGAGGAGGTTACGCAAAAGGCTAGGGTGGAGAGATGCCCGGAGAGAGGAGAGGGTTGTTGCACAGGACTTGGAAATGCATCAACGCGCCAAGGTTGTCAACCAGCAGGCAAGAAAGGGATAGAGGCTACGACGGGGAAAGACCCGCTGTTGCATTTTCCGTACACATAAACACAAACACATGCACATACGTGCAGAAGCGCACCTATGCCTCGTGCCTGTCAAAGCCTCCTCCAGCCGCCCAGTTGCATCGGTGGCACCGTCATGCTATCCCTGTGTAACAATGAATATGACGCGCCTTCGTGCGTGTATGATGCGCGGTGCAATAATGCCGCTGCGCCTAATGCATACCTTCAGTTGCTGCAGCCCCGCCGCCACCAGCGCCGCGGCACCCGGAGTGCTGCCCGCTGCTCGGCAACCCGCCGCCACAAGCCTTTCCAGATCCGGTGCGCACTGCGGTCACCGGGTAACCGGTACCCAGAATTCGGTTATTTTGTACCCTTTTGCATGATTTATTCACGAATTACGACATAGTGGCTACTGGGGATGGGATGACTTAGCGTGGCGTGGTCTGGCGCGTGACAATGCACGCCATGGCAGGAGTTGCGAACCTCATGGTACGAAAGTCAAAAGTCGTACTGAACAGAGAAGATATTTGGGGACGGGGCGTCGGTTATGGTCGTCAACAGATCCGTACCTGTAGATATGCCAGGTCTTCCGCTCGTACTGATGTACGGCTTAGATCCAGATGTGTCAGCCGTGAAGCGGTGGCGCCGCCGCCATCTGTGCCCAGCGCAGCGAGTGGCGCGACCCACGGGTCTGCACAGCCAACCTCAGAGAGGTCCAAGTATTCCATGGTGGCCGCAGAGTGCCTGCACTGGCATATCCGCACAATAACACCCAGGTATTCCACGCGGTACTCCGTAAACACGTCAGGCCATAATGCACAAGTTAAAGTGTCCCCTTTGCTGAGCCAAGTCTCTGAGAGGCTTTCGACGACGTACGCGGATATTGCGAGTTCCTTGTAGGGGTGCGCGGGCTTGCGGGGGTGCGCGTGATTGCTTGGATACTTCTTCTGTGACCTTCCTCCTACGCAAGTCCCCTTCTAATGCAAGCCGTCCCTAAAACGTTGGCGTAAGAAGTGTTTCTGGGTGGGGGAATGTCTCTGAGTGTTGAGGGCTGTCCAAGCCGTTGAGGCTCTCCTTGCTACCTCTCAGGGCCTTCACCTGCTGGCCTCGCTGCACTGTGTTTGGGCGCGGACAGCGTGTGTAACATAGTAATAGAATCCAGTGTAACGCCATTCAGTTATTCTATTAGGAACGGAAGCTACCCGTGAGGCAGGGTGTTAGGGCCCTGCGCAACTTGTTGCACTGGGTCACAGTTCACAGGAAGGAGAGAGCCGTCATTCACTGTGGTGCACAAGGGGCGGCCCACAAGGTTCAACTTAGAAAACACGGGACTCAGACGAGGACCATCAAAGCCTGAATATTTATGCGCCAGCAAAAGGCCAGGAGCGTCCCTTAGCTGCGGCGGCATTCCCCCCACCGACAGCACCACATGTTGTGGCCACGTATGGCAGGTGGCGCCCGCTTTGCACCGTTCTGTGTGGGTGAGACCTTTTCGGTGAGACTACAAGGTCATAACATTCCCAGAACAGGACAGCGGCGCCTGTTGGTCTTCAAAGGTGCGCACACACATTTTAAGCCAGCCAACGACAGTTCGCGCCTCTGAGTTACTTCCTTAAATATAACTCAAGCGACTGAAACCATCATCCCTGCGCGGAAAAGGGTACTGGCTGCCCTAAGCTGATCGGCCAAGCATTCCCTCCGGCGCCATTGGACGGAATTCTCTAGCAGCCGACAGCGGGGTGTAATGCTAACAGCTTCGACAACTGCTGCTTGTCGGTCTGCTTGACCCTACCGATCGTGAGGAAAGGCAAGCCGCAGCCATGGATTCTGGATGTGCTGCAATCGCCTCTGCGGCGTGAAGACACTCCCCTCGAACGCGTCCTCCCGCCAAAGAATACTAACGGGTAAACTAGTGAACGAATCCTGACTCGGAAAAAACCGTAGGTTTTTCCCGCGCAAAAACATGGCGGGCGTAAGGCGGCGTCGTATTATTGTAAGTGGTGTCAGTGTTTCACGAAAATCCTAGGCAAGACCAGGCCTCTAGTTAACTGCCTTAAGGCGGTCGGGGAACCTCGGAAACCTCCCCCCTCTGCGAGCAGCCAGAGCTGTAGCCCGCTGCTGTTGCTGCTGCTGCTGCTCGGTTGACATCGCGATGACAAATGCAACGCGATGTGCGCAATAGGCAAGACATTCCCATCGGCAATTCCATGCGGACGAAAACCGGGCAACGCTATGAGGTTGTAGGTCGGCTATCGTACATAAAGCCGTCTATATCCTGCGTGTGTGCTATTAAGTTAGTTGAGGCCCTATGAGACACTTCAGTTGGTATGTGTAACTTGCGGGCATGTTACTTATTTCGCCCAGTTGCGGCAAACGACGTGGCGAGAAACGTTAAATAACCGGCTCCAAGACCTTCAGTACTTTCTAGCTACAATCTATAACTGGTCTAAAAGGTAAAATTGAATTTTATTGAGCATTCAGCCTGCCAGCATGATGGCGCATGGGATTTCCCCGCAAATCCGGGAGGAAGACATGTTTACAGAATGCAAACTAACCGGCTCAGCAAGAATGGCTCGTCAATTCAAATAATAAATGCTATCAGAGCGTCAAACACACAAGGTCAGCAGAGCAGCTGGGAGCATTGGGCCTTGCAGCCGCAGAGACCTTCTGAGATGCAAATGGGCGAAAAGCAAAGCCGATTGAGCCCGATAAGGCATAAAACATTGATGAATGCGGAAGCTAGAAGACGGGCCAGGCAGTTGTGAGCATCTCGCCATGCCAGATTTCGCCTCGATTCAGTTTGAAGTTAAAACTTTTAACTAAAGCTGCAAGCCGGCAAGAAAGCAAGGATGCAACGATTGTATCAAATGTCCGTTTCCCGGTATTGAAAAAAATTAAATGTTGAGCGCTATGTTATACGGTAGGTTAGTCTGCCAGGTTGCGGCGAAGTCATGTACTTCCGGAACGACGACCGCGTTTCCTGCTCTGGCCAGGCTGCTACGCGGCAGAGGCCTCTGCCAATATGCTAAAGGATGGTTAGCCAAAACTTGGAATTTACCGAAAATGGCGTTTACCCAGTTTCCATTTAATACAAGTGACGCGTTTCCTGCATATCTGTGTGCGCGCGCGCCCTGTCTGCCGGTTACGTAGTCGTTGGCAAATCTGGCACCTCACGTGCTGGCCGAGATCCAAGTCAACAGGCATGCCGCCCTCGGGACGTACTGTCGAACGCATTTCAGCGCGCCAGTTAAGAAACGCAAAAAGCTCTTCGACACTTACAAAACGTTTAACCTTACACCATCATCATCAAAATCATGGAAATGTAAACAGTTTTAAGCTGCGAACTACTCTTTTTTTTAATCGCAAAATGTCAGTTGAACACGAGAGCAGGTTTCACTGCTACTCCCAACGTCTTCAACCACCACCCAGTCGGCCCTCCCCTCTCCCCCTTCGCCGTCCAGCTCACGCAAGAAGGCGCCCGTATACCTCAGTCGGCACTCCCCGTGCGGTGCTTTCCTCCCCTTCCTACAAAGGGAGGAAACCCCCTCCCCCCTTTCCCACTCCAGTTCCCTCCATCTCACCTGATCACACAGGCCAGCCCCGCTGGCGAGTACGGAGGATCGTCCGCCGCCGCCAGCTGCCCTGACAGTACGGCACCCCGCAGCAGCAGCTGCCGTAGAGCCAGAGGGGAGGGCTGACCTGCCGGCCACCACACCTCCCGCAGCCAACAATGCCGCAAATCTAGGAACTGGACGAGGAAGCGGCGAGCGTCCGGAGTGGGTGGGAGGGTGAGAGAGGGAATGGGCGTTTTGGCGGCGGAAGAAGCAATGAGAAAGACTCGAAAAAGGAGCGCACGGTACAGAGTCATGGAACGAATGACAGACGGCGACTTGAGGAAAACGGTCTCCGCACCCTACAAATGTCCTCTCACAACCTGTCACTCCCATTCTCCCTCCACCCATTCCACCCACCTCCAGCTCCGGTAACGCCGGCACCGTGCTCAGCTGCGTCCACGCCGCCCCAAGGTACCTCAGCAGCGGCAGTCCGGCTGCCAGCAGCAGCAGCAGCTGCTCGCCTCCATCGGGCCCACCCCCCGCATCACTGCCCCACAGGTCCAGGTGACGCAGTGCGGGCAGGTGCGGCAGTAGACTCAACCAGGCCTCGTCTCCCACTGCCTGTGGGGAGGGGGTTAAGGTGGGGGCGGACGGGATTAATATGCGAGGAGAGTCCAGTGATCAACTGCTTCGAAGCACCACCTGCTGGAGCAGGGTGGGGTGGGGTGAGCAGGAAACGGACGGCGCACCCGATTGTCATGACACGATTGTGGTATGACCCAGGAACTGGAGGTGGTGGAGGTGTAGCGATAAAATCCCGGCTACCCACTACTATCTACCCAGCCTAGTCCGACAGCCAGCCAGACAGCAGGGCCCCCCCCGGACACCGCGTCGAGGTGACTTGCCTTAAGGCCCCCCGCCTGCAGGCTTGTAAGGCCCCTCATGCTGCTCAACACCCCCAGGCCGGGGCCCTGTACACCCGTCTCTGCAGGCAGCCCCCCGCGAGGGCGGACACCGCGAGGGGGTTGGGGCCGTAAATGCAAGGGTAACGCAAAAACGGACTCCCCAAGACGTTATACCCGAACATGAACGTGCGGACGGGAAGAGGGGCAGCTGAGTGGCAGTAAGGAATGCGGAATGACACAGCGGAGGACGAGGACGCGGATGGGCGGCTGCCGGGTTGCGGCGAGGCCGCAATTCAAGGACAGAAGGAATGTGGGAAAAGCAGACAGGGAGGGAGGCGGAGGGCGGAATGGGCCAATGATGATGCGGGCATAAAAATCCGGCCCTCAACTTTTCTTCTTCGTGCTTGGGTTCACATGTCTCCACGCCCTGATCGTGTTGCTTAATGTTCATGATGTCTCAACTCCCTGGCCCCCTCCCTAGCCCTCACCCGATTACCTAGGGTGCCGCCCTCCTCCCCCTAGCTCTCACCCGTTATGTTGAGGGAGAGCAAGCAGCTTAGGGAGGCCAGCGCCGGTAAGGCCTCATCACCAAGTCGGCTGCAGCCACTGATGTCCAAATGACGAAGAGATGTGGCGGCTGGTGTCAGGGCGGGGCTGGCGGTGAGAGTGGGGCTAGCTGGTGGTCGGCCGGACGCGAAGATCAGTGGCTGTAGTGCTGCAGCGGTCAGTTTGCTACAGCCTGTTAGCGTTAACGTTTCGAGATGGCTGCGGTGTGCGGGGGGAGAGGGTGAGCGGGAGGCGGGGATGGCAGGGGTGTGTGATGCTGAAAAGAGAGGCAGGGAGGGCGGAGAGGGCTAAGGGACGGATCTTGGGGATGGGGATGGGGATAAGGACATGTTTTCCTCCGACGACATACATACGCACAAACCGCACATCTGCCATCATGATATACGTCCCCGCCCCAAACCCCGCTCGCTTGCCCCTCCCCACCCCCGTCTACACCCAAAAGAGCAAGGCAGGTCGTAAAGCCTTTCCCGCACCCATTATTACCACATCACCACATTACTGCGTGCTCAGCTCAGCTCACACATATTCCGTGCGTTCCGCATGCTCGTGTGAATGCGATTCCAGGTCCAGAAATCTGCCTCTTGGTCCGGTAGATTCAAACGCACGTCATCTCCCAAGTCCCAGGCCCCCATCTCCTAGGTGTCGCACATGCCGTAGATAAATGTACCGCACAGGGCCCACCTGAATCCCGAGAGCGCTGCCAGCCACTCCAGCGTAACCGCCGGGCCCCAGAGCCTCACACGTGTGACGCTGTGAAGGAATAACTCCAGGGTGGCCGGCCGCAGAGGAGTAGATCCTCCGCCTGCGGCTGCGGCTGGGCTTCCTCGATCACCTCCTCTTCCTACCACTCTTCCTTCTTTTACCCCTCCTGTTAATAACGCCGCTTTTGCTGTTGTTGTTCCTCCTAGGAACGGGCTTTGGCGGAGCAGCAGCAGCTCCAGAAGTTCGTTGGCAGCATGTTCGGGCAGTCGCTGCGGGCGAGCAGACGCGGGCGGGGAACATGAAGCCTTGGATCCCAGAAATTGGTCATAAGCCTCCTTGGACAAAGTGGTAGGAAGAGGAGGTGATCGAGGAAGCCCAGCAGCAGCCGCAGCGGCAGGCGGAGGATCTACTCCTCTGCGGCCGGCCACCCTGGAGTTATTCCTTCACAGCGTCACACGTGTGAGGCTCTGGGGCCCGGCGGTTAGGCTGGAGTGGCTGGCAGCGCTCTCGGGATTCAGGTGGGCCCTGTGCGGTACATTTATCTACGGCATGTGCGACACCTAGGAGATGGGGGCCTGGGACTTGGGAGATGACGTGCGTTTGAATCTACCGGATCAAGAGGCAGATTTCTGGACCTGGAATCGCATTCACACGAGCATGCGGAACGCACGGAATATGTGTGAGCTGAGCTGAGCACGCAGTAATGTGTTGATGTGGTAATAATGGGTGCGGGAAAGGCTTTACGACCTGCCTTGCTCTTTTGAGTGTAGACGGGGGTGGGGAGGGGCAAGCGAGCGGGGTTTGGGGCGGGGACGTATATCATGATGGCAGATGTGCGGTTTGTGCGTATGTATGTCGTCGGAGGAAAACATGTCCTTATCCCCATCCCCATCCCCAAGATCCGTCCCTTAGCCCTCTCCGAAGCCTCCGTGGGGAAGGGGGGAGTTAGTGGGTGGGTTCAAGTTCTCGCCGAGAAAGCGTGGCGTGTGGTGCGCGAGATTGGGCTGCCTCGATGGCTGGGGTTCTCACCTCCAAGCTCCGGCGTTGCACTGTCCAGTGAACACTGTTGGCTGCTGCCTGGAATAGTGGTAATACAGGAGAATATGGGAGCGGGTCGTGAGACTGCAGCAGGGCAGAGCTAACAAATTAAGCCGGGCCTAGAGCTGCCACCATCCAAACTGCGCGATGGGAAGGCAAGAAATGACATGACCAACCTGAATACAGAGGTCCAATAGGCTCGGCACTGCCATCCGACAGGCGTCTTGCTCGCCGAGAGCTGCCCTGCTGTGCGTGAAGTGCTCAAATGCAAACGAAGGCTACGATAACTATGAAATTGCTATTTATCAAAACTACGTTCAAAATCGAATATAATTCACTGTGTAAGCTTGACCAGCTACACTTTTACGTGGCTTCCCATATCGTAATGCAGGCCACCAACCTTCGACCGAAGTCCCTTGAAGGTACACGCTATCGTGCATATTGGTTATTCATATAGAAATGGCTGCTCCAGTACTCAAGATTGAAATTGACGAGCTCACGAACTCAATCCAACACCTTGAGCGCAGCAATCGAGAACTGAAAGAGCTTCTGCAAACAGATCCTGACCCCGAGTACCGCCTCGCCATCGGTGAAAACATAACAACAATTGCAAAGAAGCGCGCACGAGTAGCAGCCCTCGAGGAGGAACTGCGACGCCTTACCGGCGAGGAGTACGAGTCCGATGCCGTGGCACTGCCAGTCGCTGACGAAGTTCTGTGCTCGGAGGACGCTGCCTCAAGACCAGCTAGCACTGCTGGACCAGACGGCATGCAAATAGAGGATTATCAACGTCGCACCCACGCAGCGGAACCCACTGCCGATAACATGGAGTTGGACCCAGCCACAGGCATGGCGAGCGCCGCAGGCAGCTCCGGATCTGCAGGCGCTGGCGCGAGTACAGAACCAACAACACTAGTAGCCAGATGTGCGGGGGTTTCCGTTGCGGCAGACCCCCAACCAGCCGCCGCGACGGACACAGGCCCAGGCTCGGGTGCCGGAGTGTGGCTGTGACATGTTACACGGTTTGACGTCGCGCGCTGCTGAGTCGGATGCATGGACATAGGGCTTATGAACCGACGCAGCCGCAGGTGCTGATGCTTATTGGTGTGCAGGGTGCTGTGATGGGAGCTGGAGAGCGTGTGAACCCCCACTTGGCCCTACGGCTTTGGGACCCTACGGCCCCCGCCCTACGGCACCAGATTGAAGAACAGCGTACTAGGTCGGTGTGTGCGGCAGTTGCCCGTGTGTGTGCACGCACCAAGTCCTAGGATTCGTGTGGTAGCGGCGTGCGTGGATAGAGCACCGCAGATCCAAAAGATAAGGAATGGAGCAACCATCAAGGGGACGGTGCAAGCAACAGGGCGATTGCATGCAATGGTTGGCAATGCCTGTTGGTTGATATGAGCTGAGTGCCTGAGGCGCTGTCAGTGTACTGCAAGACCATATGTGGCTGAAGGATAAAAGCCCCAGGCATTGAGGGCACGACCGACCGACAAGGAGGATGCGGTTGGGACAGTAATTATGTCACCAGGTGTGTACCCTTTATGTTGATGGTATGCTCGTATGTGCCGATTATATTGTTGCTTAAGGCTACTGGCCAATGGCATATGTCGAAATGCCCATTGGCCTGTGTGTGTGAATCTACAGGCAGGGAAAGGTACATCGGGCAACTTGATTTGAAGATGGGTTGCTAGCATCTAAAAATGACGTATGTGTTCCTGTGTGGAAGAAGACGAGTGATTTTGTGTTGGTACCGTGAATATTGGTAAGGATCCCAACATGCCGTATGAGCTTACGCATCATGCGTCTGCTGTACAGGCGTTCGCGCCGGCTGGCTCACAGGCATGGCTTGGGCCAAGGTGGGGAAAGACAGTGGGAAGCTTCTGGGACTTTCTGCTGAGGCATTTCTCCAAGTTTGCTTGCCCGTCTTTAGGGGACTGCAACTGGATGAGAAGCAGGAGGGAAATTGACAAGCTATGCGGAAGCCTGTTTGCCGACGGAGATCCCCCGATGTCTGCATTTAAAATCAATTACTGTCTAGGAACGAACGAATTCCCCTCAATAACCGAATTCCATTAATGGTTTTACAGAAGGGAATCATCGCTACACCGTGCTACAGGTGGTACAGGTATAAACACCTCGATTAGACATGGTTCGCGTGGCAGGCAAAGGAAAGCAGAACGTGACAAAGCACGCTGGTAGTTCAAAGGAAAGGTTCCATGACCGTACAAATGTCCTCCCGGCGAGCAACCTGACCAGGGTGCTATCCAACCCGCGATTTGCGTCATATTAACAACACGGACGCCGCCGCCTCTCGTACATTCAAAGCTCAACCTTTGCATCTAGCTGCACCCTACAACTTTGGTTCGTAGATAACTAGAGGATCACCTTGCCAAGGCCTAGAAAAGACACCGCCATGCCGCATTTCGAGTACACAGATAGATACTTGCAAGGAAAATAATATCCAAACTAGCCGCGTTGCCCTCCGTCTGAAACGGGTCCAGAGAGCCGCACACACACACACACACATAATAATCCTTACATAAACCTAATTAACCGACATCCCGAAAATCCACATCCGCGCATTTTTGAGCAGGCCACATCCGCGCTGGCAGTTCTCGTCAAAACCGCCCAACACATGTGCCAAAACCACCGCAAAGACATGTGCCCCGTCTTAATACACAAAAACACGCACACGCAAACAGACACAAGCACGCCGTCCTCCAGATGATGATTCAATTTATTTGCTTTTAGAAATCCCCAGACTCCCTAACTAGTCTGCCGGCGTTGGAAGCAAGACGACACCATCCCCCGGAAAGAACCGGTACCAGTACTTCAATGCTCAGGACCCGTGGCCCCCACTCTCTCTCTTTCTCTCTCCGCTCTACATATATTACGTGTTCGACTCAGGGATACGACCAAAGGGTTGTAGAACAAGCTGCGCACAATGTCTCATGGAGTCTGAGCCTACTCAGGAAATATCTACAATATGCTGGAAGGAACCTAACAAACTAAATTTCCCTCCCGCATCCGCAACATATCCATCCTGCAAAACGTGCTTATCCCACAGATTCCCAAAGTTCAAACCAAGACCCTGTGTGTTACTACCGCTGCCGCGCATGCGTACATACTCATCAAGTTCAAATATGTCAAACAACGACTATTCAGTAAGGATCTCCCCTGCCGTACAGCAACCGTACCATGTACCGGCCACGCACGTACACAAGCCATTAGCCTCTTTCGTCGCTGTACGAGCAGAAGTAAAACCCCTCATCGCTTACCGTAGTATCTTTTCCTCAATCAACATAACTATCCACAGACGATGAGCAGCATCTGCCGCCGCCATCGCGACCGCTGCTTCCTAGCTTGTACGACACTAGATACGGCACACAGAAGTATATAACGAAAAGTTAAGATCTTGGTTCAGTATTACCATAGCGCTTCCAATCCAATTATGTCCTATTTTATCGAATCCATTCGGATTTCGCCCCAGCAACAACAGCAGAAACAGTGCGCGACTGGAGGAAAAAGCTGCCGCCTGATGGGGCCGCTAGGATGGCGCTGATAAAACTCGCTGCGCTGAAAAGCCTCCACGGCCTTCGCGTGAATGTCCACTCCACACGCAAGTAAGCGCGCACGGCAGGAAGGAAACAGCAGCTGCTGATGGCCGCGCGCCGAGCAACCGCCAGCCATCTTGTTGTCTCATGTCACTTCATTCAATCCCGCAGCTCCCCTGGCCATCTTCCTGGTGAGCCGGACAGCTAGGATGCGCCAGATCGAATGGGCTCGGCTAAGACGAGGTCGGCCTGGCCGCCCTGTCGGTTCCCCCAACCTGTTCCAGCTGCAGGGTCGTCTGTCTGTCATACACACATAGTGTTATTACTCAACACACGTCATGGACCAGCATCTACCGCTGCCAACGCACAACGGCCAGATCGTGCGGTGTGCAAGCCCTCGGAGACATCAGGTACCCCCCTGAGGTATGTCCCCAAGGTAGCGTCTGTCTGAGGCCTTGTTGAGGGTCAAGGGATCAGAGGTATGCTGGCTAAATCACAGATAGGGACACAGACACATTTGAGAAAATGACACACACTCCAGCACGGACTGGTACGTGCCCTCTAACAGGCGTCACGTACATACATACATACGCACGCGCACACTTTTGCAGTACGGCACGTGAATGCAACAGCCCATGTAAGCCACACAAAACCCAATCGTCCTGAGAAAGTCCTCCCATAGGGTGGCCCGCAACCGAAACAAAAGAAACACGGGAGAGAAGGGTGGTCTCTAAGCAAAAGTCAGGCATCGCAATCAGTTTTTGTCGTCGTCGTCCGGACTGCCGTGAATGCACGGCGTACATGCATATGTACATACGTACAGACATACTTTGGGGGGGGGGATGGACGCGCTATCCGGGGACAGGGGCTGCGGTCGGCAAGCCGCTGTCTAGAAGCGACTAGGTAACTAGGGTTGTTGGATGGATGGTGGGGAGGTGGTAGTGGTAGTGGTGGTGACGGCGGGGCCGTAGGTTGGCGGATGCAGGAAGCGACTAAGCAAGCAGCTCACAAGCACCACCACATCAACAACCCTGTAAACCTGTAACGTCCTCTTATCAGTAGTGCTTCCTTTATGCCCCGTTCGTCTGTCGGTCCGTCTGTCCCCCAACTCGACCGACATGGGTACCCAGGAATCCCTCATCTTCCATTCCAACACACACACACACACACCGGCATTTCCCTCATCGTGGCTCAGATCATTAAAAACGAGCACACATTAATGCACATGCACACACGCGACGCCTGGATCCTGCAAAGTGCAAGCTCAATGATAACCTCCCCACCAAACCTCCCTGTCCAAAAGCTCCCACGATAATGATGCACGTGCACACGAGCTCTGCCTGGCTTTATCTGCAAGGATGGATGTTTCCAAATTGGGCCCCCCCAGTCCCTTTAGGTGTCGCCGCTGCCAGCACTACCACGATTAACACGTGTCCCAGCAGCGCACGGGGTTTCTCCAGAAGCACCATATCCCACCATTGGGCGCCACACACACACACCGGCCGGCGGCAGCAGCAACAGCTGGAGGTGCTGGAGGCGCAATCGGCTAGGAACTACTGACTGAGGTTGGGAAGGGTCCGGCGAGGTATTTCCGAACAAATCACTCCGAAAACCTACAGTGCGACAGGTATAGTATACGGCAGGTAGGCAGTGCAACACGCAACCTTGTTCGTCCATGTCGGACGTGTCTCTCCCCTCTCTCTCATTCCTCCTCCATCTCCTCGAAGATAGAAAGAGAGGGCGCAGCCAGCACCACGCTTACAGAGGCCTGCCATGCTTATATCTCATTTCACCATCGGGACTAAGCCATTCCCCATCAACACCAACACCAACTCAACCACGTAATCATTTGCCGAAGCATTCAAAGCCACCTGCTGCATACGGTTTCCACCCAAAAACACTTGGCCCAACACCAACAACAGCATGTCAACCAACCAACCAACCAACCGACTGACCTTTATCTCACATGCTCCCCTGCTCAACTGTCATCCTGTGCTGTGCTGTATGAGTTGCTCAACTTAACGTTGGGGTCGCCGCCGGGGTCACCGCAGGTACGGCTGCCAGTGTCGCTGCCGCCGCCGAAGCGGCTGCCGCTGTTTTCACCGAAAGGCGGCGGCTCCGAAACATGATCCGCGGTTCCGAGGAGCAGTGGCCACCTTCAAAACACCAGCTGTCGCCGAAATGCTGGCGAGATATCTCCCTGAGAAAGCCCTCGAAGCTGCCATACACCGCGCACGCATAGCCCTCAAGGCTGAAGAATGGTGCGTCAAGGCCCCGTGTCACCACCTCGTGTGCCTCTGACAAGTACAATGCCACATCAGCAACCGCGTAAGACAATTGCGCGGGCTGGTGGCGCATCAGAGATCTCAGGCGCCGAGCACAGCGGGCTAGAAGGTCTGTGGGAGGAGGCCCGCGGGAAACCAGCAGGGAAGGGCGGCACGGCGAGAGGTTGGAATGATTAGAGATCAGGAGCGAGGGGAGGGGCTCTGTTGACAAGAAGCTAGCGCTACCATTGCATCTCCCGCACTCAGTTGTGTCGCACCTTTGCAGCTGTCGCTGTCCTCTCTGCCCTAGCAAATCCCTCAAACCGTGTTTCATCCGAGCCCTCCGAATTCGTGCAAATGCACATGTGCAGTAGATCGCATTAACAGTCATTGTAAACCTTACAAAAATCTTGTATCCCACGATGAGCCCGGCGGCTGATGCCGGGCGGGCGGGAAGCAGGTCCAGTTCATCTTCACATTCCATGTTGGTGTATTGCGAAGTTAATTAATGAGAGGCTGGGTATGGCTTCCTGACATTTCATGCTGTCATGGCGTGATGCTGTGCAGTGTCGTTTATGGGTTGCACATGGAGATCATGAGGCGAAGCGTGGTGCCTCGCATTGTGCTCGGACTGCTGTGCATTGCGCTGCATGGTGCATAATGTCGTGTCGTAATCGTCAGGGCTCAGTAGTGCGGGCTTACCGCTTGCCGACGGAGGCTGATGAGGCGACACGTCCTCGCCAGTTAGCTGTGCAACCTTTGCCGTACCCGCCGTACCCGCCTGCACTGCTAAAGCACAGGCGGACTGATAAGGGCAGCCCCGTGCCTGTTGACCCAGAAGCCTCGATTGCTGGTGTCTTTGCGGCTTGTGCTCATACGGTTGCTGCAGGGGCCTCAGCACGCAGCGTGATGCGCAAATGCTACAGCTACTGCTGTCCACAGAGCGCAACGTCCTGTGCCGCTGATTTGAAAAGAAGGAATTGCGACCCAAAGGGGAACGTCCATTCTTCTTCCCTCTCATGCAGCTGTAGCGATTGTTCGCAACACATGCGCATGTGACTGGGCTGCTAGGGCAGGCAGTAGCGCTAGTGCTGGGGCTTGGGCTGGGACAAACTTGCCCTGAAATCACGCCGGGCTGGGTCTGGAGACTCGCTGCTGGGCGATGTGCCAAAGTGGTCGGCCCTGCCGCTGCCGTTGCCGCTGGACCGAGCTTGCCCGGCATTGGTGCCGGAGCTTGGTCCACTGCCGATGTCGATGCTGCAGTACCAGCAGCCGCCAACGCCGTTGAAGCAGTACTTCCACAGCCGCAGGATCCCGCCATCATGGGCTTGCCGGAGGCCCAGGCCGCGGTTGCCATTTGCGCAGCGGCTTCTGTGTCGTGGCTTGGGGTGCAGAGGCTGGAGGAGCCATCCGAGGCGGAGTCGTCTCCTGTTGCGGCGGGGACTGTATAGAGGGATCGCAGAGACCAGGAGGCCTCGGACTGGCTGCAGCTAGGTTGCTCCGTACTTGGCATGGCGCTCAGGCTGCCGCAGTCGCTGCATTGCCGGCAGACGGTGGGGCTAGAGCGGCCGCTGCCGGAGTCCGAGACCTGGATGCCCTCCAGCCGCTGCTTGCTTGCCGCCAGCCGCAGAAGTGTTGCGATGGGCAACGGGTCGCGCAGCGCATCCCAACCCCGCATGTGCCGGGCGTTCCCAATAAATAGGATAGCATTCCTATCTGCGATGGTGCCTTGCAGCGACCATCCGCCACCGAAATGACCGTCGCCGATGGCCAGCAACATCTTTTCGATACTGCCATACACGTCGCGGCCCCAAAGAGAAACAGGTTTTGGCTCCAGGCGGCAGGATGGCGCAACCGACATGCTTAGGAACGCAAGGAGTTTTTCAGCTTTGTAACTGTCTAGATGCGTACGCCTTGCAAAGTAGCAGTGCAGGACTTGAGCACATAGACGAGATATCTTTCCAGCAGGCTGATCCCAAGTTGATAATGGATCATTTAAGACAGCCGGCTTGCCTCCCAAGGTTGACGCCTGACAAACACGAACGCTGATGGTTTTGCCGCCCACACGAACATTATTGTCAAGCTCTGCTGCTACAGCATCGAGAGTGGAAGGTGAAGGAGAGCCACCAAGAACAACAAAGCCGAATCCCTTGTTCTTCCAGGCTGATTGAGGAACGACGCTGATGCCAAGCACTTCAATACGACGTGATGCAAGCTCAGCTGAGAGAACAGCTTCCACTTCTTCTTTTGGCAATTTAGGTGGTATACGTGTCAAGAACAGGTGGTAGAGGGCCCCACCATTGCCCGAGGAACCAGGGTCCGCGGCCATATTGCTAGCCAGTCCAACAGTCGCGCAGCATAGATCAATTGATTGTTTGAAAATAATGACCACAACTTAAATTAAAAAACCAGTAAAATATCGGAAAGCAGTCGCAGGTAGGTTAGGTTTCAAACACGGACTAGCAACGGAGATTGTTCGCTAATAGTAACGTGATAGCAGGAATTGCAGCAAGCTGGCGAGCGTCGTAAATCAACAAAGCAAGAGAGCTGTGATAAGCCAAACCTTTCGTACAGGACAGGAAGTTCTTGTGCATGGCTTGCCAAGGGCTAACAAGCGGTGAGTCGAGCTCTACCCGGTGCCCGACTGAACACGCCCGCCTCGCGACCCTTCCTGGAGTGTAATAGCATGTCCTCAGCGGCAGCTCAAGTCGAACTTTTTATAGATTGCAATTAAAGCTCATAACGTTGGATTCAAAGCCGACAAGCTGGGGCGGATTTAGCCGTCTCCATCCTGGCGGATGAGCGAAAGATTCTGACGATACGGGCATGTTTCAATTGACGAGGCAAATTATATATCAATTTCCAGACTATCTACAGATGAAGTGCTTTTTTATCCTAATTCATTGCGACGAGTGCGCTAAACTATGGCCGGGCAAAGTCCGTCGCATCAATCTTACAGCTTTCCTAAGAATTTTTAATCACGCAATCATCAATGTGCAGTTCAAAGCTGATGTCAGCAGATGCTGGTGAGCATGGCTGTCTGCAGAGGCTGAGGCTTGAAGAAGTAGCACCCGTACAAGGGACAATATGGGAGGCCGGATTGGCATTGAAGACAACACAATTTTGCACACAAATTGCAATACGTGGCTACATCTATTTTCATCTTTGTTTAAAAGACCCTTCTTCTGTTCGTTGCAACGGTTTGGTGTACCACTTATTTTTTGGCTGGGCCGAATAACCTTCATTGAGGGATACCATTCGAAACTTTTAATTTTAACGTGTCTCATGAAGCGTTTACCTTGCCTTCTGTACTTTTGAACAACGTCTGCTTGGGAATTATGTTTACAGCATTCATGTTTTTGCCCTTCCATCATCGACACCTCAGTACTGTATAAAGCTGTGTAAAGGGCTTGCGTCATTTAGTAAGGGCAGTTGCGCATGTGAAGGAGTGACGAAGGGATGCCACAGAGCAGCGTTGCATCGCTTCCAGGCTCACGCTGCGAGTTACGAGTGGGCCTGGATGCGTACTGATGATCTTCCTAGGAAGCTGGGCCATGTACTGATCGGGTCTGCGTCACACACGATTGCCCTCTGCACGATCCGTGTCTCGCGAGACACGGATGCGTAACATATAGAGTCGTGGAAGCAACAGATAACGGTTAATGGCCTTAGGCTCAACCAGAAGTAGTTGGCTTTCCTATCAGTTGATCCACCCGCGCCTGCAACGTCTTCGTAGGAGCTGTTGCTAGGGGACAATCGGTTATCAGCGCCAGTTTCCGTGGGACCTGTTCCGCACGACCTGAAGCTCCAGAGTTAGCTCATTTTAAAAGTAAGGGTGTCAGACGATGCCAAGTAGCTGTATTGCACACAGAGGAAGAATAACGTTAGCAGTTGATGAGGCTGTAGCCCCAGCGGCCATACTGTCCTCATGTGGTATGTGCGCGCTATGCAAGTGCTACTCGTCTTGCCAGGTTATACGCCGTTATATTCGAGATGGTTAACTTCACTCCTGGCTTCATGTGGTGTGTCCATGGAAAGTTCCATATTGCATGCAGTGAGGAGGGGCCATAATGGGTCTGACAAACACCATAATACGTCAAAGTTTTTCGCGCACATCTGCATGGCAACCAACCTGCGGCGACTCTCAGGTGTCCCGCTGCTATGATCGATGAGACAGCTCAGCAACGGCCGTGGGGTCAAATTTTCCTGGTATATGCAACTTGCATCCGAGCTATTGACACAAAGGAAGTCAGCATATTCGTAAGTTATTACGTCTGCAAACCTTTTCGTAACACTTCAGCTTCTATATTCCAAGCAACTAACTTGTAAAGGGTGTGTCAGGAATAAAAGCCTTCATGCTTAGTTATTTGGAATATTCGTTGGATTCACTATGTAAACGATAGCCAGCATTTGTTTAAACCGCTCTTCGGACTTTACCTCGATAAACCAGGCTGTGCTTCAATGTTCGCCCCATGCTTTAGTCAACTGATTCCATGGTATTGGCTATGAAGCTTCAGTCTGACGCACTTCCAGGGAAACACTCCATGCCCTGAGGGTACTAGTACGAGATTTATTAGTTGCAGCCAGTAAAACGAACGAGTCGCAATCAGCTGGGCGTGATAATTTATTCGCACAACTGTGCAGTCCAGTTGCATCCGGTCCGTTTTACGCGATGTCGCATTGTGTGATAACGACTAGACGTACAGACGTACTAACGTTCGTCCCTAGTCGATTATGAAGCCAGATACGAAAACACGTGGTCAATTTTATCTTTTGTTCAATTAAACAAAAGCCAGACCTCACGGACCAAAAATCCAGAAACGGTCTGTCCTACTGATCGCGCTCTTGACAAGCCTGACATACAGCCCGCCTTGGTCTCTAACGGCTTCCATAAGCCAGCGCTGCCATAAGTGATCCGGGAACATTCCTCCGCGGGATTGAACATTGACCTGCACGGTAGACACCATCGCGTCCGTCCCGCAAGGCGTCCGTCACCGCCAGCCACAGCCACGCCTGCGATGGGCCGCGGTAAGAGGGACCAGTCCGACTGGAATGGCCCAACGGCAGGCAACTAACAGGCAGGCGATTAGGGCTGCGCGGAGGCAGATGCACTGGAAAGACTCGCAGAGCAACAGGGCACCACACCTAGTGCCTCTATCTATCCCCTTCTATGCATCCTGCTAACTTCCGGAGCAAATGTCTAAAACGCAACGGACGGCGAGGCAGCTGTACTGCACCAGCTTGGCTCACGATATGTTACAGCTGGACCAAACAGCTACCGAATACACTTCCACTAAATTGGCACGCATACACACGAAAGGCATCTTGAAATTTTTTGCCAAGCTGACATTGGGACATGCCTACCCTTCACGTCCTATATTCCTGTCGAAATCCCGCTGGCAGAGAGGGGCGGACAGGCCCGCTGGAAGAAGGGAGCCGATCACACCTGCTTTTCCCATAAATATTTGTCAATTGTTCTTAGTGGTGAAACTTGTTGGGAAGTGTGAACATCCCGGATTCAGTTCAGAATCTGAACTTCAGATACAAGTCTTCGACACTTCAGACAACCCCTCATGCCCAGAGGTGGACGACAAGACTGGTTAACGAAGGACCTCTGTTCGGGACTAAGGCAGACCTTGTCATCTAATCCGAAGGTATGCCCTGGAGCACCCGGGGATGATTGCTCAAGATGGGGGAGGAGTCTAAGAAGCGACTCGAATGTCTTGGCATCTCCCATGAACTCCCAGTATGTTGCTACATGCTGGGTGCTGCATGCTGTTGCATGCTGCATGCCTCACATAGCTCTTGCGGGGCCGTCTTCCATACGTCGTGTCCCAGAAAACTCAGGAAACAGAGGAATAGTGACCCCTATCCGCCCCCTTCGGGGTTAGACAGAGCCTCTACGATCTCCTGTCGCAAAACTTGGTGTGCAATAACCCACGCTGTCAACGAACACGGTTCCAAAACATGACGATCTGCTTGAAAACAGGTAGTGTAGAAGTAGCCGTGACCATGCCGCGAACAGGAGGCGGTATGCTGGTCTGGCGGCTCTCACAATTTGACGCATGAACGACACCTGAAGCTGAAACGCTCTATATTTCAGACATGCCTCGAAGAGCCCTCTGCAGTATAAATGGGCCCCACACTTGACAACCGTACAATAGTATGGCTCGTACCTGCGTACCAAAATACCTCATCCTCACATCCACATTCTTTTAGCTCATCCAATTTCGTACTCAGCGAGAACATAGCTGCATGTGACCTGTTTCGCACCCATGCATGCGCCCGCAATGTAAACATGGCGTATGTAGGTATGTGCATGTTAGTGCAAGTGACACTGCCGCCTCCACAACACGCTTCATAGCACTTCAGCCGCTCAGGACAGCGATGCTGCCGCCATGGATGCGCAACAGATCTCCACCACAGTCAGTCTGTACACATGGCGCAGCCTTCAATACCAGCTTTTCCCACCACCATGCCTGTTTTAGCCGCTCTCATCATGTGCACAAGTCCAAGGACGCCCGTCAGCCTGCCTGTCGCGTCGTTGCCCATGCATTCCCCCCAGTGTCCACGGTACGCACGCGTCACTCAGTTGACGGACACTTCCACCGTAATCTCTTGCCCTGGCACGATACCCGGACAGTCGGACAACGACAGCGGATCGATGAGCATCCTTCCCCCCAGTAGCAGTTTCATCTTTGCAAATTCCACGTGGTGCTGCTCGGCGACGAATGCCTTGACGTATGCCACTGTGACGCCTGTTTTGAACCTGTGAGAGGGTGAAGGGAGGGGGGTAAGAGAGGATTATGGGAAAAGGTGGAAATGAGGCGATTGGAAGAGACAGATATATGCGGCGAGACTACCGTTGTTAGGGGAGACATGCTCTTGGGGGAGACACGGTCAGGTAGCGGTATTGCTGCTGAGGGGCAACCATGTTGGCGTTTAGTTGTCAAGTCGGAAAGTTTTGCCACTTAAGAGCCTGAGTAGCCGGTTACCAAGCATTAACTCCGCTCTTCAGATGTACTTCTGGTGGCGTCAACGTTCGGTTGAGAGGGTGTTTGGGCTGGACACCTCCCTGGTCCATATAAAGCTGAGTACTACTCGGGGAAAATCATCAGGGGCGCACTGTTTTGCGTCCAATGGTTATGCTGCCGCTCCTTCCTGGGCTTTGGGCGGCATAGCGCAATATCTACGGAGAAATCAAGTTTAACCCGCAACCGCTGGAGACGTTGGTTGCGTAGAAGTTGCCCAGATATGGCGTCCTTCCCCACAAAACAAGTCATTTAATAGTCAGGGCTGTGCCATTGTTGAAAAGCTCCCAGGCATGTCAATCTCCCACTACCCGGTAACACATTACATCTCTAGAGGTAAGGATTGTCGTTGTATGATATATATGACATCAATCTCCCCCCACCACAGGCAAAGGGCTAACATGACGCAAGTGCTGCGCGGTGCGTTTGCCGATTTCGGCTACGTTCGGGCTAGTGTATACCCAGGGTGTCTTTAGGAAAGCTGGATACCAATCTTCACGGCTTTCCATGAAAATTTGGCGATGTACGTTGCAAATGGATGCCATCTTGAAGCAGACTGCGATACAAAGTGTACAACTGCCGCCAAAAGTACCCTCACATACGTTCTCAAAGCCAATTATATTGCTTACTTGTGGACCGCCTTTTCTCCTTCAGGAAGGGAGAGCAACAAAGTGACGTCCGCGCCTTCCTCTGCTCTTGCCTCAGCTGCTTTCGTCGCTGCAGCCTGCTCGCGACTCGATTCGAGATCAACTGAGCTTAAATCCATGTTAAGAGAGCCCCAAAAATGCTACCAAGTATATGGTTGAGCTCGTCCTACAAATTCACAAGACCGACACTCCGACAGCTGAAAATTTCACTAAGAAATGACTGCACAGACCTACTTCGTTTGGAGGGCATAAAAACTGGCCAAGTGAAAGCGACGAACTGAAACATTCGAGTACGCATCGCAAACGAAATCGTTGACAGCTTGACGTATTTCCGTACAGGTGTTCTGGAACCCCATCACACTGCCATAGGTCAAAATTTAGTAGTCGGTCATTACGCCCTAACGCTTAGGGTGCGTTAAAGCGACCGGTGCCCGCTCCTGCCACATTAACTTGAAGCTTTCCAGGTGCGGCGGATCGTAGGCATTTTCGTAGCTGCTCCAATTTTTCAGACCAGCCCTTCACTGCTTCCGTGCAACGCTGAGCCTCCGCTGCACTTTGCGCCAGCCATTGCTCTACGAGAAAAAAGTTGTTGGCGTAGAGTTTTGATTAAAACACGGACTGTCCACCATAATTTACAGAAGAAGCAATCAGGAGTAGAATTCTGAGCATGGCCTAAACATGCACTTCTAAACCCAAACCCAGCTTACTGACAAACAAATTGCCCTTGATACCTGATCCCTTGATCTCACCGCTGCTGCAAACCTGAACGCCACAGGTGCGATATAAGACCCCCGGCTCCCTGCCCGCAAATCCGCACGTGGAGCATGTAGGTGTGCGTATATTTGTGCATCCCTTACAAGCAGGGCTTTGCCCTTTTACCCTCGCTCCTTTTGCGAAGCAAGTTCAGAAGCGGAGCTTGGCTCGTTAAGCACGTACACGAGCACAGTCACCCACCATGCTGCCATGATCCCAACTAAGTCGCATGGAAAATGTGCAGGACCCAAAGATGCTCACCGGAAGTCTCCTCCCACATGTCCATCCAGACGATATCAGGGTAAGCGGGATAGCGCATGGAGACCTGTATGATGTGTGAAACAGGGGGGTATATCTTCACCCGTGGCAGCTACCCTCCGAAACCCTGCCTTCCCGGGTATTTCGGGGCACCCTTACTTAGTCACCCTAGACAACTTCTCAGTGGATTACTCAGGTTCCGCACCCACCACCAGTATCCAACGGAATCTGCCGGATCGACAGCGGCCCAACTCCATTCCTGGTCGGCTCGCAGGCTAACTTTATCCCAGGTCACCTCCGTCCCTCAAGTAGGGGCGAAATACCTTCCACCATCGGAAGGATTTTCGACCCTGACAGGTCTCGATCCCGGGATCTCCCGGGGGAAATGGTTGCGCGTTACCAGTAGTGCCTAACCCTCGTATGTATGAAATATGAGTTCACACGGTTCACACGGTTCCGTCAGCATCTTGTCAAGTGCCAGGTGACCCGTGGCCATGAGGGTTTGTGGGGCGTTATGCAGCTGGCGGAAGATATAGGACACATCACCCATCCATCATATCAGTAGACAGGTGGCGGGGGGAACAGGAGGACAGGGGAAGGAAGTAACCGATCTGGATCCACGTGGGGTTGCGGGGTTGATGTGGACGAACAGGACCTGGAGATCCACATGGAGCTGGGGCAGGACTCGGAGCCAGGCGCCACTGATTCCACCCCTTCGAAGTAGCTCTTGACAAATCTCGTACAAATTGCTAGAGCTTACGCTCAATGGCGCCATGAATGAAATAAATAAAGCCACGCTATCGCCAATAGCAGTAGCGGGCTTCTCACATACCAACTGCTGCACCATGCACGACATGCCCCCACACAGCATTTACCCCTTGCCTTTGCCTGTCGTACCTGCTGGTAACGCTTCTCCACTTCGCGCTCCAGACGTGCCGTTCCGTCGCCTGAGTCGGTGGCAATACCTTCAATTTCTGTTGTTATCTCCTTCAGCATCGCCTCTGCTGCCTCTACAACCTTCTCGATGTCATAGCTGCTAGCGTTGCCGTCGCCGCCACTGGGAACATCAGCGGGAGATGCCACGGACAGGAAATCGGCGTCTGGGTAACACCACGCATCCTGCTGCTGTGGCTGCAGCTGCCAAGGTGCAGATGGTGGCGCATTGTACTGCTGGGTGCAGCCCTCCTCACTCCGCAGCTGCTGTAGCTGCCGCACCAACGATGCGCAGGCGCTGTACAGACGCACAAGGTTTCGTTCACGCTGCGGCAAGTGGTCACAAAGGGACGGACAGACAGACAAACAATTGGACTGACATGCGAATGTGGGCGCAGGGTACAAGGCGCAGGGAACCATGGCGCGCGGCTAGGGCAAGGACGGCGCATGTGAACGGGTTGACCGCATGGTGTGTGTGGCTTCCCGCTTTGATTGAGTCGCCTATACATGGACCATACCACAGCTCCCAGGCAGGGCAGGCCACCTGCAGCTGGGCCACTTCCTCCACCTTAGCCACTTTCGCGGGTAAGTTAAACCAATCTTTCTGCCCCTGACTGCTTTCGGCTATCCTCGGCTGCTTTCTGGCCGGCACGACAAAACACTACTTACGGTGAAGATCCCCCAGGAAAGCTACACGGCATGGATGCAATTAACGTGCAATCTCGGCACGGGCCACTCCTGCTCCTCCCTCCAATTCCCCTCCTCCGTCTGTATCCGCGCCTCTCCTCCCGGGCTCTCCTCACCCTCCGTATTCAGCCCCAGCGCGCACACTCCCCCTAGGGCTCTCACCCAGGTCCTTGACCACATTACCCGCGACAATCCCCGGTGCTAAACACGCCATGCCACCACTGTGTGTACGTATACAGCGCGGGGGACATGGTGCAGAGCGGAACCTGGCCCCCGGTACATTTCATGTACGGTCTGTCATTGTGCCGTGTGTACCTTTTCTATCGAGGCCCGCCATGCAGCTAGGTAGCCATCGATTGTGCGGGTCCAGGCGTCCACTTGGATGACCAGGTCTGGTAAGGTAAAGGCAGCAGAATGAGGACGCAAAGGTGGACCCGTAAGCTGTAAAGCCGTTGCTGTCACGCAAGCATGCACGGTCCTTTACCCTTACCAGGGATGACTTCCCGACGCCAGCGCTCAAAACGAGCGAACCGTGGGTCTCGTGACCGGGCGGAAGGCTGTGTGTACATGTAAGACAGGGACAGCAGCGTTGGGCGAAAAAGTGGCGAAGCGAGCAAGCGAGTGGCAGGTGCATGCCCTCTGATGTACATGTTTGCACGAAAGCGAGGGGGGAGTGCGAAGGATGGCATAAGTTGCTATATATGGGAGGGGAATAGGACAGGTCGGATTCGGCCGGGTCGTTGAGGGACGGGTCGTGCTTCAGTAGGGCCCACAACGGCAGAGGATGATGAGACGGGACAGATAGCGAGGGCTAGGTGGGCCCTGTTACCCGCTTCTGGACCCCATACCGCTGCAACAACAGGGAGCAGAGCATTCTGATAATTGTAGCAATTGCTTTGCTACGATTATTACTTATGCAAAACAATCGTTTTGCACAAAAGGACCGAGGCGCGTACGTCTTGGGAATGGTGCAAATAGCATTACAATTCCTGCGCCATTGCAATATGTAACTGATCATGCTATGCCTAAGAGCGAGTAGGCGCGGTTCGTGCCATCTTTGCCATGTGCCGTAGAATGTATACTACATGGGCTCGCAAGATGCACACCTTACCAGTCCCAGTATGGCTTCATACTCGGCTCGAAGCTCAGGACTGGCTAGCGTTGTGTAGGCGCGGCGAAGCAGCATAAAGTCCCGGGCGGCAGTTGGCTGTTACGGCCATGAGGTATTGGGGGGAGGGGGGAAATCGGGGTGATGGGGAGGCTGGTGAGGCAAAGGGCTAGGCGACGGTAGCGTGGAATGGGGAATGGAGTCACCGAGAGCCAGACGGATAGGAGCCGTCACCGGAGGCGCATCACACAGCACCTTAGTGGGGTTTGGTGGATTGATGTGTGCTGAGCCGGCCTGCCGCTTGTGTTATACAGTAACACACATACCACTGAGGCAGAATAGTCGCAGTACGACCCAACGACCTGAGTCAACAGTTATCAAATGCAGCCTACCGCTTTGTTGACATCAGGATGTAAGTATTTCGATTTGGAGCGGAAAGCTGCTTTTACTTCTTCCAAGGAAGCGGATTCAGTTACACCCAGGATTTCAAAGTATGATGACCGCGACGACGCTGTGCATCTGACCGAGACCGATGAGCGTGTTGCTGACAAATTCCGTTTTAGCGTGTGCATTCGACGTAAGTTAAGGGCTTTGGGTGTAAAGGAGTCTAACTTCATTAGCATTCGTGCTCGCTCCCGCTTAGGATTTCACCGTCCATTCGCTTATCATTTTTTCTGTTTTGTGATTATAAATTATGATTATGCTGGTATAACTATTGTAGATATCGTGCTATGCCGTGCTTTGCCGTATAAACGACAATCCTGCAAGCGGTGACGTTATCAAATGAGAGATTCAGTTTTCGTGGTCATCATTGTTAAGACCAGCAAAGCGCCGGACCCCCATTGGGTCCTATTACTGTGGCTACCAATTACTGGTATATGAGTGTCGGTCATTTCCAACACCCCCCCGTGAGCGACACTCTCTCGCTACGGGCCTTCCCGTGCCTCATCCCGGTCTCCCATTCTCTGAGCAACAGCCAGTGGGTACCGATCCGGCGACCTCTCGGCAGCGCAATGCGCCAATCGGGGCTCATAACCTGTTAAGACCAGCAAAGCGCCGGACCCCCGTTGGGTCCTATTACTGTGGCTACCAGTTACTGGTATATGAGTGTCGGTCATTTCCAACAATCATTTAAGGGAGAAAGGATTTCCATGACGTACAGTAATGGTGTCGCCGTGATGTATGCCAAACCCGTACTACCTACGTCCGAACCCCATAAGTTCGGGGTATTCCCCTCATGTATCACCCCATACTCTGGACAACAGCCAATAGGAAGAGGTCTGATGACTTCTAGGAGCAGCGCTCAGCGCGATGGGGGCTCATAACCTGTTAATCACAGCAAAGCACCGGACCCGAGTTTCCCGAAGGGGTTCGGGAAACTTAGTCCTATTACTGATGTTACCATTTCCTGATATATGTGCTGGTCAGTTTTCAACAGTTGTTACAATCAGCGGAAAAGCCATTTTGCGGCTTTAGTGAACAAATAGGACCTGGAGGTTTTGTTTGTACGATAAGACCCAACAAAAAGTCAGTCCAGACGCAGTTCGCATCCTATCGGAACAGTGAACCAAAAGAACACTAGAGAAATTCAGACAGTCTGTGACCGAAATCACAGCACCCTTGACCACAACTTCTAATTCATCGGCACGTGCGACCGGTTCATGAAGCTCCGCCAGTCCCTTCTACTGCTCCAAAATGGCACCATGGACCAATCCCAGTGCTTGTCAACACCTCCAGCTGAGGTGCTAACATGTCACCTTCTCCACCCTCGCCGCAGCTCTGTCGGTATGTACCTGAACTGAACTTTTGCATTGCCACGCCGGTGACCTCGTCTGGCCATCATCCCATCTGGTCCATCCATCGGGGAGAGCTCTCATAGCACTATAGACCGGTATACCTTACCACTCGATTGAGAGACAGAAAGACAGACAGATAGACAGACAGGCAGGCAACTTGGACCACGGCGGCTGCCGTAGCCACACCTGCAGCCGCCGCCCCCGTAGCAGCAGCTGCTGCCACTGCCGAAGTAGCCGCAGCAAATCAAAGCCAAAGCACAAAAGCGAGGTACCAGCCCCGGTCTCAAAGTCACGACAAAACCATCCACTGACATGTGGTGGGAGAATATGCCAACTTGCCCTCAACCTCCACCCTGGCAGGTACTATCAGGCGCACATCTTGGGCTGTGCATTTGACTGCGGTTCATGGCCGCGCACTAGCCACTGGGACCCTCGGTCCCTACTGTAAAGCCAGACTATCCAAGCCGCGCTCCTGAAGAAGCCAAATGTGTCCAAAATCTATTTCGATTATGCCACCTTACAAGAACCACAAATCCTCTTCCTCACGGAAGGCCTAACGTGGATATAACCCTGAGTTGAGGGGACTGCAAGGCCAATGTTTGGCCAACGGCCGACTAACGGCCGAGCAACGGTCTTTGGAGATTCATACCCGCCCCTCCTGCTTGTGACCAACCGCGCGGTCGGTTGGAGGTTGTAAGCGCATGCACTGCTCCACCGCCGGCCATTCTAATCAACTAATTTTCCACCTGGGTGGTGTGTGTACGGTCGGCCAGCTGCGACCTTTCAATAAGCGGAGAACGGTGCGTGTTTCCATAAGTACCAGTGCATTTTCTTTTCTTGTGTGGATACAACTAAATTAGTTGAACTGATAAAGGCAGGCAGCTGGGAAAAGGCGTGGCCCACGGCACACCTATCTACATCAGCACCAAAGCCGGACATAGCATCAACGTACATTATTAATCTCATCTTATTTTAATACGGGCTATTCTTTGCTGGCTCCCTCCAGCATGGATGGTTAAATGTTGCCTCTGGTGATGGTGCTTGCATTGACAGTGATTGAGTTGAAGCCATTGGTTGTGTGCCACAACGTGGTGTTGTCGCTGAACGCTCGATTACCGCTGATCAATGAGCGCATCACGGAGATGTCGCCCATGCCGTTTGCAGCGATGATGCCGCCGTACAGAACCGCATCAGGCACGGTAAGCGTGCTGTCGACAATCCTGACCCTGTCAACATATGGCGTGTACAGCATGCCGCCCATCGCAGCTGAGTTGTTGGTGAAATTGCTGGTGAACACGATCAACTGGTCAAGCGAGCCGCTCACAAACGCCACACCTCCCCGGTCGCCGGTCGCCGTGTTGTCGGCGACTTGCACGCTTTTTAGTGTCAGCCCCGACAGCGAGCCGTCAATGTACAGTACGGGACCAGAACGGGCTTCGTTTCTGCTCATGACGCACCGGGATAGCTCCACATAGTCCTGTATCGGTTTATTTGTAGTAATGCGACCCAAGCATAAAAAGGTTATTTTAGGTAGGTGTAGGAACGGGAAAATGATGTATGAGAGTAAGCGAAAATCAGTTGTTAACTTGGTATGTAGCTGGAATACTCCCGTGATGGGAAATGGTGCTCCTGCTATTTTCCCCGACGGAGGTTACCACGGGCTTGGCCATAAACCAGCTGCTAGGCAGCGAAATTACCTTGATCGGCAGTCAGGAAATCGGAGAGCAAGTAATTGAAGGCCGGCTCAACGACCTAGAAATTGCTAGGCCATGTTAAGAGATGGCATGTACTCGAGGGTGGCCAGATATTGATACTCCAATGTTGTGGCACTCACTCAATACATACATCCCTCACCAAAACTGGAGCACGCTCACCCGATTCTGCCTGCTCACCTGGCTGGAGCCCAGTACTGTCAGCGCGACACCCTTGTGGTCCGTGAAAACGCTGTCGTACACACGGATCTGAAGCGCCCCCGCCGCCTCGCGCACCAGCGGTGCCTTGTACGCATCTACGCTTGCAGCGTCACCTGCCGCCAGCCGAGAGACTACCAATGCTCCGTAACCAGATAGAGGTTGAAGGGGACGGTTGGAAGACGTGTGTTAAAATAATAGTCGCCGTAAAACACGTCCGTAAAATTTTCACCTGCCCCGTACATGCCCCCCCAACCAGTCTTCGTATTCACGAAGCTACTGTTCGTGATTGTTAAGAAGCCTTGGCCTGCCGCTGTGTCGTACCACTGCTGCAGCTCGGGCGACACAAGGCTACTGCCATTATCAACACCGTTGTCACCATTACTGGCATCACTGTACTGCAGGTGCAAGCAGCTCCAGCCGTGGGCATTAAGAACAGAGGTGCACTTGAAACCCCTAATGTCCGCACTGATGAGGCCCGACACGTGTACCGGGCCAAAGGTTGGGAAATTCCGGTCAGTGGCAGAATCGCGGCCATCATAGTCACTATAATCATCAATTCCGATTCGCGTATACATTCGCGTTAAGCCGGAACTTCTAGCCCCGTCTAAATCATGGACGGTGACATTCTCGAGGGTGAGATAGGCACACCCCGCACATTACAGTAGCGGCCCCAGAAGCGAGAATTCCATGCCCGATATGACGCTGTCCACGATGCGCAAGTGCGGCACACCCCGAAACGTGATGCCCAGGTCCTCGAGGCTCATTAACCCCCATGTGCTCTGCTGTACTGTCTTTTCCGCTGCACGGAGAAGTTCCTCTGGAGGCACCCGAAGTCGCAGGTCTACACCTGAATTTGCTGAGGTTCGGAGATTATTAAACAGTTCCTGGCCAGCCCAAGCGGTCAGAGTGGATGAAACGTTGCGGAGGGCAGGGTTGGGCCAGCAGTTAACGGAGGCCTTATCTAAGCCTAAGATGGTGACGCGGCAACTGTGCGTCCAAGGAGGCAGTTTCGGTAGTGAAGCTGACGACGGGGGCCACGGTGCTGGCAGTGCAGCGGCTGCTGCAGCTGCTTAGACGGTGGCGAATCTGTGAGGTGAGGGTATGGACGTGTGCAAGGGGTTGTTTGGTAGTAGGGTAGACTCAAGGTCGTGACTGTCTTGGTGCTGCGGGAAAGGAAGCTACACACATGCTAAAATAATGCACTTACTAAAAATGCTAATGCAATTTGCCTTAATAATAACGCACTTCCACTTCAAAAGTAGCAAGGTCAGAATCTGCAGATTCTATCCAGTTACGTTTTTCCCAAGCTTTCATAATCTCTGATGCCTAGGTTGCATAACCTACAAAATATGCGTTATCTTATAAAAGGATAAACAACTGACTACCTAACTTTTCTTGCACCAGAGCTAAGGCACTTGTCAGGAGAAAACGTAGGAGCTGGAACACTACTAGCAGCCTAGATAGACAGACAGGCATGCGGCGAATGTAAAGTCTATTTCCACCATAGCTAGCTACGCACCCAGCAATGGGCTGCGCTTGATGTCCTCCGATAGGTCGCCAGTGAGGCCAAGTTTGGGGTTGAAGACACGCTGTCGTGTGGGGTTGCCGCGGATGACAGCTCCTGGAATTTTGTCCAGCACTGCCCTGTGGAGTTTGTGAATGCACACGGTGCAATATCTCATCTCCATACAAGCTTTAACTGCCAGCAGGTCAACAAATGCACCACCCTTCTTGCGCTAGCGTGTGTTCCCATACGTACATGCATGCAGCTTGTTGTAAGGTTATTACAAGCAAAACCTGTGTAGCAATACGTTTAGAGCTTGTTAGTGCTTGTTATCCGCTCACCCCCAGCACTTGACTTGGTCTTGCTGTGTGGTGGTGTCCACCACAGCACAAGTTAAGTAAGTGCTGACGGCCGCCGACTTGAATCTCGTGACATCGGGACTAAGAACAACCGGCTTCAGGAATGCACCCATCTCCCCCGGCTCGTCCCCAGTGGAAGAGCCAATCCTTTGCGCTCCAAGCTGACCTACATCGTCGGCTCTGTACTTGGGACAAATGGTGGGTAGAGAGACGAGATGATTAATGGCGAGTGTCCAGCAGCAGCGCGGAGTCCGACAGACTGACAGACCGACCGACAGACCAACAGACCGACAGATAGACCGACCGACCGACCGACCAACAGATAGTCCGACAGATAGACACGGGAACGAGTAAGTAAAGGCGCGCGTGTGCGGGGCATACGTCCCCATAAAGGTCTTACCACATCGGAGTTGTTTTTACCACTTTTATGCTTTATTGCTGGTCAGGAGATCGATGGCATATGCACCTAGGTGTGTCTGTAAACCGCCATGAAGCGGGTCAAGCCTTCCATCAGGCAAAAGCAACTAATACACACAATGAACACGCCGTCGCAGTTACGGACAGAGGTACGTTGGGAAGTCCAACCGACCCGCACAGACTCTAGGGGACTTGCTTTTCATACCTTCGAGTAGTGTTGTGGGCGGGTTGAATAGAGGTTAGCCCCGTGGCTTCGGGGTATATATGCTGGGATCCAAGCACCCTTGCCGCCACCACTTACCCCCAGCATTTAAGCAGCGACCCCGGCTGCAATAGCGCACACGTGTGGGCAGCACCTGCACCCGTTACCAGCTGGGTGACCTCCAGTCCTGAGCCCAGGTCCACGAATGGCAGCAATGCACCCATTTCGGAGGGCAGCAGGCCGCGGGACCGCTTGTCACCCATACCAAGCTGGCCCCTGTCGTTGGACCTGCATGGACAGATGAAGATAGTTTGCTTTGTTGGTCGTCAGTCTCCAATCGTTGCCTCCAATATAGTTGCAGTGGATTATCTGCCAGCTGACGGATTCATCTTTGTGCGTCATGTGAGGTCTTGCCTAGCCGCGCATCCAGGTGATGACGCCACACTCACCCCCAGCACTTGACTCGGCCTCCCGGTTGCAGCAGCACGCACGTGTGACGCGAGCCGGCCGCGATGGCGGTGGCGTTCAGCCCCGGGCCCAGGTCGACGAAGGGCAGTGCGGCCCCCATGTCAGTGGGGCGCAGTCCTCGGGTGCGGTTGTCACCCAGACCCAGCTGCCCGGCAGTGTTGTTCCTGTGGAAGCAGGACATGCATTGATTGCTTTAATGCAAATGTTACTCCGAGACTATGAAACCCAGCTATGTTAAGGGATTTAGCGATGTAAGGGTTGGGGGTCGCTAATAAACACCAGTACTATGTTCATGAAGGTGTGATACGCCTGCAGCTGCCCTGGCATGTGGTTGGAGATCATGCCAACCCTCCTTTCGGCGCACATTTCCGGCTGTGCATTTAACCGTGGCGCATGGTCGGACCACCAACCAACCGGAGGCGCTGGTCGGACGCTGCTGTCCGCTGCACTCCATGAGCCACTTTGCCCGGACCCGGCTTTAATTTGCGCCCTTGCGAATGCACATCCTCTTCCTAAAGACACCAGCTTTCCGGCAATGCGCCTTGATGTAATATGGATACTGTGACAGGAAGGTAGGTTGGGAATGAGCAATTGATGAGGTCACCAAGACCCATGGAGTTCACTTTCCCTAACCCTGTCGGTGAACGGATAGCTGCTAGCCTAGTCCATGCCCAGCCCCTGTGGCATGCGCCTGAGATGTGGTTCTTGAACCCGCGCGAGTTTCTTGATCCCTGGCCGCTACCCCACAACGGAGGGTAGGGTGAGAGACCGAGATTTCGGTCACTCCTGTTGGGATACAGATGTCGGATGCAGAGCAAGAAGATAACGCAATTATTAGTATCCATAGCATGGCTGGCTTTACCGAACTTGCACAATATATCCCATTATAAACCCACTTCACTCACCCCCAGCACTTGACTCTTCCTCCCGGCTGCAGCACGGCGCATGTGTGTGCATCCCCCGCCGCCAGCGCCACCGCCGCCAGTCCCGGACCCAGGTCCACGAAGGGCAGGGCGGCGCCCATCTGAGCGGGATCCGTGCCCCGGGTGATGTTGTCACCGAGACCCAGCTGGCCGCTCCTGTTTTTGCTGCAAGTGTGGTAAGATGGATTGTTGTCAGGAGCTACAATGGTGTCTCCTAGCAGGGGATAACGAGCCCACATCCACGGGCATAGCATCGGTGGGCCGCTCACACATTACCTTGAGCATACTATTTGTCTAAGACTGGTTGTATGGAGCTGTTGGTCATGCATAGGTGTGTTGGTGATAGCTCATCAGTGTCTGTAATGTCTTCTTTAATTCTGGGACCGCGACTCCACTTCACGTAACAAATACCGTCGACAGCAAGAACATGCACCCCTTTGGCCTACTCACCCCCAGCACTTGATGCGCCCTGCTGCCACGATGGCGCACGTGTGCTTGCTCCCAGCCGCCAAGGCCGTGGCCACTACTGTCCGGTTTCCGGAAGGTCCCAGGGCGACGGCGGGCAGGGAGTTGTTGCGGCCCGTGTAAATGTCGGATGGGTTGGGATAGTGATCAGGGCCAGAAAGTCCTAGGCCCAGTTGCCCGGCAAAGTTGTACCTGCGTGCCAGCATGGCAAGGAGGAATGGGTTCAGCATCGACCGAGGCCAACCCTAAACATTGGGCGGAACAGCCAAAAACCAGCTGTATACCTGTCGATCTTGCACGAAGTAGGTCACATGGCCAGCAAGCTACGTATTGTAACACAGCAAAGGCGTAACCCGGGATGCTTAGATGGGCCTTGCATCGTTACACGTATACACACAGCATGCACCCTAGATACGCACTCCGTTACTCACCCCCAGCATTTGACCACACCGCCCGGCTTCAGCAGCACGCAGGTGTGGAGGACGCCCATGGCAATCGACTGAACAGAGAAGCCGCTGCCGATATCCATCATGAACAGGTCGCTTGGCCCAATATGGCTCAGGATGGCCCAGCTGTGTATGTAGACGTATCAAGTAGCAGCATTACGAGGCGGCATACACGGGGCGGTGGGATATCAGAGATGGTGCTTCCTCAAAGCTTGGGAAAAGTCACTGGTGTATGTCCCCGTGCACGCAGACACTGCAAAGGTATCTCCACCGTGATGATCTTTTTTAGGCAGGTGGCTGGCTGAAGTTAAGGCCTGACTTCTGCTCCCGGAGGTTCCGGGTTCAAATCTGCTTGCCGACCAATCGGTGTGTGAGGGATGTTGACATGGGAGGTGGCGCCCCCTCTTGTGGACAGTGTAGGACGTGATTATAGCAACTTACGAGGCTGACCAGGAACTTAGTTGTGGCGCCGTTGATCCGCTAGATGTGGTTGGATGCTGGTGGTGAGTTGCTGAACCCAATGAATATACATTCTGAAGTCGGATGGGATGAATGGATTAGGGTCCCCCTCTCGCAGGGGAGAGTAGGGAACTGCCTCGAGAAAGGGGCCGCTGGTGAAGCTATACCACCCTGTAACAACATCCTACTTCTCCACCGTGCGTTCACACGGACATATACACATTATCCATCCCGTCTGTCCCCAGCCCACCCCCAGCACTGGCTCACCCCCAGCACTGCAGCCCCATCCTGGAGGTCCGAGCTAAACAGCCGGTGGAGTATTTGCTATATTCGTTCACGGCCAGCAGGAGGCTTCCCGTCGACACCTGGTTGGCGCCTGTTATTAGCTCGGAGAGGATTTGGATATATATAGTGGGGCGGGCAAGGTGTACGTGCGCGATGGGGTTAGCTGAGTATGTGTGAAACAGGGGGGTGTATCTTCGCCCGTGGCAGCTACCCTGCGAAACCCTGCCTTCCCCGGTATTTCGGGGCACCCTCATCCAGTCACCCTAGTCAACTTCTCAGTGGATCGCTCAGGTTCCGCACCCACCACCAGCATCCAACGGAATCTGCCGGGTCGACAGCGGTCCAATTCTATTCCTGGTCAGCTCGCAGGTCAACTTTATCCCAGGTCACCACCGTCCATCAACTAGGGGCGCAATGCCTTCCACCATCGGAAAGACTTTTTGACCGTAATGGGTATCGATCCCGGGATCTCCCGGGGGCAATGATCGCGCCTTACCAATAGTGCCAAACCCCATATAAATCTGTGTATGTTACACGGTTGGGGGGTGCGTGACCCCATACCTGTAAAACTACCCATACGAGCCGAAGGCCCAAGGGCAATACCTAAACGCCTAAAAGCACGGAGAAAACGAAACATCGCACTATCAGCCCAGACTAGCGCCCAAAGGGGATAACTGAGTTGCGGCGGGCCCACATACGTTCTCGCCAGACGCGTTGGTTCCCATTTCATGGCCTCCAACATGCTCTGTTGATGATCGAATCCCTCTTGCGCACGAATATTATTATAGGCTGGGATACATGTACATTCGCTATATCCAGCAGCCACCGTACCAAAATACTACTCGCGACTTAATGAATAATACGTATGTGCCCTTACTGATGCTACAGCGCCCATGGGAGACGGCGAAGCTAGGAGGAAGATAGGAGAAGAGGAATATGCACACGTATGTACCGACACAGGGGCCAGTAGGCGGGGCCCTCCCAACAGCTTCATGCCCCATGTGCTCAGATTACGCCGTCCCGCTTATTATGTCCTGTCTAGGGAGGTTAACGTTGTGGCCTTGGATATTCCTTTCAAATGTACATATGTGTGCAACATAAGCCATTTCCGCGAGGTATGTGTACGATGTACCTCCATCGTGGGAGGTGAGGGCCGTGCTGCGGTTACTAGATTCACGACCCTTGTCAATAGCCAGGTCTTGCACATGCACAGCATAGGGTATAAATCACGGAAGGATCTATACATGGGATGCTAAAATTTCAGGAAGTGATACTTAATATCTACCTAGCCCCCCGGCAGTGGAAGGGAACATGCAGGACCCGAAACTGCCTTCAGTTGTAAGGCGGAATCAACTGAAGGTTTTCTGAGAGTAACGATAGAAAACCGAGGTTTCCTGTGGACTCAGAACAATTGATTGTGTGAGTTGGTACGGCATGTAATGCCAGTTAAGGAGGTCGCTTTGGTATGCTAGAGTACTTTTCGGGTTTCTTAGGTACGTCAGGTCGCTGCTGTGAGGCGTTAGGTGTCCAGGCCTAGTGGATAGCCTCGTGGTAGCTGGAGCCTCCACCCGTCCTATACCTACCGAAGGAAGACTTATTTCAATTGTTTGCAGGTACCCTTTGTAACGTTTGATAATTCTCATGAAAATGTTCAATATGGCTTTGACGGACACCCCCCGCACTCGTGCGGAACTTGTTACATGACCGGACTATGGCTAGGAAAGGCAGGAACGGTGTACAGACACCAATCATTATAGGTTATATTTACCCTTGCAGCTCCTATGGATTTAACGACCCGTTAACCTGGGCTGCCACTTTCTTACCAAACGGCGGCCCCAGGTCCACGGGAGGAAGCGCTGCACCCATGGCCCTGTACCAATCACCCCGGTCTGCGGTGTCCCCAAGTCCCAGCTGGCCCCGGGAGTTCCGTCTGCAATCATTAACAATAGTTAAATTGGACACTTGCGCCTGCCGCTCAGGTGACAGGGCATGACCATCAGCATTGCTAATAAACGTGCAAAGCGGAATTAATTCAGAGATAATAAGGGCAGATCTAAGGTAGAGCTCGACTGAAGGAAAAGGTCAAACGAATGGGAAAATCCCTTAATGCTGCTTGGTAGATTCCGAGGCGTCACGCAACTCACCCCCAGCATTTCACCAGCCTTTGCTCCTGCGGGGGGCTGCTCCGCTTCAGCTTCACACACACATGCTGCCCGCCCGCCGCGATGGTCTCCACTTGCAACCCGTAACCCACATCCACAGGGAGCAACTTCCAGCCAACGTCCCTGTAGTCCTCGCCAAAGTATTGATACATAAACCCGCTGCCCAGCACGCCATCGGTATTTGCCCTGAGTGCCGTGCCGTGCAGGGCGACAATTGCAGTGTGAGAAGCATGTGTCATTGACAAAGCAGGTCGCCCCGAGGGAAGAGGACTGGGAGAGTAAACACGAGCAAGACATTGCACCACGAAATACGGCAGCGGAATACGGCAGCGACTGAAGTATGTACCTCTTTCAGCTCGGGGTAAACAACTTAACCAGGAAAGCTGGGCTATACCTATCGGCCGTCGCTCGTGGCCCGGGGATATGCAATGCAAACCTAAGCCATACGTGAACGTCTGCGGTATTGTAGTAGCTGGTACACGAAAAGTACGGAACACATAACTATAAATACACACGAAGCACTCGACCACCATCGCGAGAGGCCTTTTCAGCGCCCGGATACTGCAATTGGTATCGAGACCTCGTACGTGTCTACAATTCTGAAGTCGTCAGTCCGACCCCAAGGTACGCATCTCAGGTTGACGACTGTCAAGCTTAAATGTAGCTGTGAGTGTCTGGGAAGACTCTGTGCCTATAAATCCTGAAGACGGCTAGGCGCATGTGTGGGCGGCACACGACGTGACTTTGATTAGCCACTTGCTGCCCGAGGGTAGGCGAAGGTAGGCACAGGCTGGTGAATGTGGCTGTAAGGGCCCGAGACGAATCCCTTCAAAGGGGGGCGAATGTAGTGGCTTCACCTTTATTTTGCCTTCAATCTGTTCCGTCTGTCCTGAGAGCGAGATGGCTTGCGGCTTGACTGTGATTGCTGCCTGCGTTCCTTCTTTCCTTGAGATCAAGTTGCGTGTCATCCTATCTTTGCGTACAGCTAGGGCTCACCCTGCACTCCTTGTCTTTGTCATGGATGGCGGGGTACGGATGGTTCTGCTGCTGTCGGGGCGATTCCCCGGTAGGCTATTATTCGGGCTTGTTTCGCCTGGCAGCTTCTGCCGGGTCCCGCTATTCCTTTATAATTTGATTAACGCGAAATGTCAAACGTCATGCATCTCTCGACGGGTTTGAAAGCCAGCTACAACAGTAAGGAAACCCGACTTACTGTTGCACGTAAAAGTATGTTTATTTCGTTTTAGTGCGACGCTTAGTTATATAAATGTGTGAACTGTAGATATAGAATGTGCATAGAGTGTGCAAATTTATATTAACTTGTTTTTCGCATAAAATTATGAAATGTGATAATGTTGTGATTCCACTCCACTCCACGCACTTACCCCCAGCACTTCACATAATTTCCTGGCACCAAGATTACGCAGGTGTAGGAGACGCCAGCCGCCACCGCTACCGCCGACTCATCAATGCCAAGCCTGGCGTCCTGGAAGTAGCCGGACACTTGCCCAGGACGGATACCGCGGTCATCTGTGTCGCCCGCGTTGAGTTGCCCTAGCGTGTTGCGACTGTGACAGAAAGTAATTAATGTTTGGTGCGCAAGCCGTAAATACTTCATCACACACAGCTGTCGTCAAACCAAATTTGGAACCTGTATGAGACTACCTATGATGAGGTTTATGATAACATTATTATGGGACTGGCTGGCCCTGCTGTATGTTAAGGGGCTGCTGCCACCCACCCACGACCCTCAGCAACTAAGCATTTCATGCTTTTCATCCATACATGATACGATATGTAACGATCCTAACGGCCTCACCCCCAGCAGCGAACGCCGCCTCCGGGCTGCAGGACCACACACGTGTGCCCGGCGCCTGCGGTGACAGATACCGGAATCCGGACCAAAGGCCCGAAGTCCACGGGCCGCAGCCGTGCGCCCATCTGGCCGGCCACCATGCCCCGAGGGACACGGTCGCCCAAGCCCAGCTGACCGTGCCGGTTGTGGCTAAGGTAAAAGATAGGGGTAGGGTAGGTGGCAAAAAAGGATAGTTAGGACAAGGCCTGCTGGCGGGGGAGATATGCCGCCCATCAGGGCCTGGAGGTTTCTGGATCAGAGTTTGATGAATTCTTTTACATGGCCACCAGCCAGGGTCGCACATACAGTTGACGAAGGGCAAAAAGGCGAGATTGCAAAAAGACAAACTCCCAGGCAAGCAGTAATAATAGCACTGGGTTCGCAATTACGTTGCAGGGCATGCGCCACGGACAGTTGCGAATTCTGTACTTGGTGTTGCCGTACAACTCCTGGTTGGTTACGCCCAGTGATTTTTTTTTCATTTAGGGGGGGTCTCAATTTATTCCAACCTAAGTAACAAAGTTGCTAGCGTCGCCGTTATGTATTCCTTAAGAGTGGGGCGCTGGGGGGGGCTACGCCCCCCCCAGGCCCCCCCCGATAAGTTACAACTCCCCTCATAGACCAAGAGGCACACACTGCGTTGGCGCGTTTTCGTTCATGTGCGCACTCTTCATGCACATGCATAGATAGTTCTGGCACTGTTTGTGAACAAAAAGTAAATCCGACCAAGCAAAGGCCCAAAGCGAGCAACCGCATAGCAAATCACAGGCCGTCACCCGCCACTGCAAACCACAGCACACTAGGACTCTACCGGTTCATCATGTACCGGCCCCTGCTGCTGCTGTCCAGCCACTTCCTCAGTGCGTCACGGAACGGGAACGTGCCCAGGTCGAACACCGCACACACAATGCTAGGTGCTCGTCCAGGCGGTTGCGGGTGGGGTCCTGCAAGTACCCCATGGCCGAGAACTGCCGCTCATCCTCCACCGACCCTGGCACCATCACTAACACCAGCTGGGCCAAAGCCGAATACTCCGTTAAGCCGCCGGCGAGGACCGCACAGTTGCTGATGGCCTGCCACACCCGTGCTGTGGGTGTGTCATCGAGCAGCACCCGGTGCTCACGCTTGGATGTGGGCGCATCTAGGTCCACTGCTGCCGCCTGCTGCCTCTGCCGCTCGGTCTGCTCTCGCGCCCGCCTGAGGCGCTGCTGTGCGGCGAGCTGATTCATGCTGGAGGCGAACAAGTTCGCCTGTTCGTCCAGCAAGGCGCTGTCCAGCATCGGTGGCACCTTGCTGGAGTTGGCGCCCACCCGCTCACGGCAGTAGTAATCCTTGAGGATCTTCAGCTTCGCCTTGAAGTCGGCTGCCGTGGGCCTGTTCTCCCAGTACTCACTGTAGACAATCGACGCCGCCTCCAGCAGTGGATGTGGGGGAAACCGCGAAGACAGCTCACCTATCAGCTCCTCGACCGCGGCTGACATGTCTGCCTGCACCGACTTCACGACCTGGGCCAGGCGGTCCGGTGTCAAAGGCGGTGGTGTGCGGTCTTGGCCAGTGCGAGGAGGATCAGCGGTGAAGGGGTAGAAGCCGCTGCTGCCACACATCAGTCCGATCCCCTCCTCCCCCGGCGTGTCGGGATTGAACACCCAGGCGGTGCCCTTGATGTCTCCATCGACTGACAGCAGCTCCTTGAAGTCCCCAAACTCCACGGTGGTGTAGCGGGTCTCCGGCCTGAGGTACATCTCACGCAGCCGATCCTTGGTGCGCTGAAGCGCCTTGGCCAGCTCACCAATATACAGCCCACGGCTCTGGCAAAGCTTGATGAATATGTCGATGGTGACCAGGGCGGGCATCAGCGCGTGCATTGAGACATACAGGCGTGCGTCCCGTAGTGTGTTATACAGCTTCTCCTCCTCCTCACCGCCGTCCCAAACGCCTTTATCAGGAAAAATTTCAGACTTATCTTGCTGTTTTTGTGTTTGTTCGGCGTTCAAGTCGTTGCCTTTTGCGTGTTTGTCTATGGAACGACCGGTCATACATTCTGCTATGCCGCGTTGACTCACGGGCTTGACCTTCTTACGGCCCCTCATATCTATTTTATGATCGATAATACTAAGTTCTGCACACTACAGAGCAATCTGGCAGCAATGGACGTTTTTGGCTGAAGGAATGAAAATGTACGGATCGGCCTCACTTTGTTCCTTATTTCCAAGGGCCAAAAAGGCCTCTTTATTCCTTAAAAGTAATATATTACTTAAAAAAAAACACTGGTTACGCCTTAGGTGACCCAGGCAAGGGTGAAATGGTGCGCTACGTGAGGTGACAGCTGTTCGGATCGTCCAACAGTAGCTTCAGCCCCAAGGGCGATTCAGGTCCTGAGCACCGCGCTGGTCGACAACACATCCAAGCAATGAGGTATGATGCTGTAAGTGCCTAGCCGCGGCTTCTGTGGTAGGCACGCCAGGTAGGCTCTTGTAGTTTCACGCGTTTGCGGTGGCGGCACCTAGAGAGTGTGTACATGTGTACATGTGTACATGTGTACATGTGTACATGTGTACATGTGTACATGTGTACATGTGTACATGTGTACGTGTGTACGTGTGTACGTGTGTACGTGTGTACGTGTGTACGTGTGTACGTGTGTACGTGTGTACGTGTGTACGTGTGTACGTGTGTACGTGTGTACGTGTGTACGTGTGTACGTGTGTACGTGTGTACGTGTGTACGTGTGTACGTGTGTACGTGTGTACGTGTGTACGTGTGTACGTGTGTACGTGTGTACGTGTGTACGTGTGTACGTGTGTACGTGTGTACGTGTGTACGTGTGTACGTGTGTACGTGTGTACGTGTGTACGTGTGTACGTGTGTACGTGTGTACGTGTGTACGTGTGTACGTGTGTACGTGTGTACGTGTGTACGTGTGTACGTGTGTACGTGTGTACGTGTGTACGTGTGTACGTGTGTACGTGTGTACGTGTGTACGTGTGTACGTGTGTACGTGTGTACGTGTGTACGTGTGTACGTGTGTACGTGTGTACGTGTGTACGTGTGTACGTGTGTACGTGTGTACGTGTGTACGTGTGTACGTGTGTACGTGTGTACGTGTGTACGTGTGTACGTGTGTACGTGTGTACGTGTGTACGTGTGTACGTGTGTACGTGTGTATGTGTGTATGTGTGTATGTGTGTATGTGTGTATGGCACCTCGCTTGTGCTATTACCCAGAGAGATGTAGTAGTAATACTCGTATCTGTGTGAGTGCTTGATCATAATGGCATGAAGGGAGGAAGCAGTAGAATGGGTGGACTGTACATACCTACGTTGTTAGCTGTGTTAAATTGGAGACAGCAATCGGAGGTGGATCATCATCATCATTATCCACTCACCCCCAGCACTTCAACACGGAGCCCGGCTGCAGAAGGGCACATGTGTGGGCCGTGCCGGCGGCCAGGGCGGTGGCATTCAGCCCCGGGCCCAGGTCCACGAAGGGCAGTGCGGCACCCATGTCAGTGGGGCGCAGGCCCTGAGGCCGCGTGTCTCCAAGACCAAGACGACCATAGAAATTGGAGCTGCAGTAAGCAACAAAGAGAATGGATGACGGATACTAAAACAGGTTACGTGTAAATACATGAAGAGATAAGCCGCAGTAATCGCGTGGAAGCGATCAATGCTAGTACGCATGACTGGCGGTGGCTAACATGTACAGTGCAAGGCACCCTAAGCGGTATTCAGTCTGTAGAAAGCTCAACACCTCACCCATACCCAGATGGCGTGGTAGTTGGTCGTGATCACATGCACAACACAAGGACATGAAAGGCGATAGTATACCCGGGGCCTACATAGGCAAGCGGATAGCGTTTTCCACCCTCACGCCACCCTCACCCCCAGCACTTGACTCGGCCTCCCGGTTGCAGCAGCACGCACGTGTGACGCGAGCCGGCCACGATGGCGGTGGCGTTCAGCCCCGGGCCCAGGTCCACGAAGGGAAGTGCGGCACCCATGTCAGTGGGGCGCAGTCCTCGGGTGCGGTTGTCACCCAAACCCAGCTGCCCGGCAGTGTTGCTCCTGTGTTTTATGAGGGGTCGATGCACGGGTGGATGCATGGCCGGGCCAGGATTTCCGGCGGCATAGGTGCGTTTAGGGTGCTCGCATCTGTCTGTTCCGGGACAAACCACGCATTGTAATGTATTTCCAAGCCGAAATAGAGCTTACGTTGGATGGGCTAGCAAGTTTTGTGATACGCGCAAGGGTCGTACGTTGGATAATACGAGCAACTGTCGTACGTTGCTACGAGCAAGTGTCGCTTTTTTTCAGCAGCGAGTGGAAAGGCGACTGTTCCACGTACAGTAAACATGCAGTGGCAAACAGCAGCAGCAGCAGTGCTTGCGAGCCAAAACATATCAATTACCCCCTTTGGACGCTAGTCTGGGCCGATGTGCGGTGTTTTCCTTTCCTCCGTGGCTTTTAGGCGTTGTAGTATTTCCCTTGGGCATTCGGCTCGTATGGGTAGTCTTACAGGTATGGGGTCACGCACCCCCAACCATGTAACACACACACATATCGTGAGCATGGTAAGGATGTAAGCATTGCGATCACCACATCCCCGCATCTTACATGCAATTGATTTAACATAATTCAGATATGCAACTCCGCAAACTCACCCCCAGCACTTGACTCTTCCTCCCGGCTGCAGCACGGCGCATGTGTGTGCATCCCCCGCCGCCAGCGCCACCGCCGCCAGTCCCGGACCCAGGTCCACGAAGGGCAGGGCGGCGCCCATCTGAGCGGGATCCGTGCCCCGGTTGATGTTGTCACCGAGACCCAGCTGGCCATCTTGATTGCTCCTGCGGCAGAAATGTTGTATCCTGTAAAGGTTTTCCTGCAACGGTTTGGGCGCCGAATCCTAACTGTCGGTGGTTAGCTCGTCCACTCCGACCCTCGAACTCGTGATTTAGGTCGTGCTGCGGCAAATAGTACGCGTGCATTCGTTAGGGATGTTAACTTAGGGTTTGGATGACCTGTTTAGGATG